TGTGGTAGTGATGGTGGTATAATAGTGGTGGTGAGTGTGGTAGTGATGGTGGTATAATAGTGGTGGTGAGTGTGGTAGTGATGGTGGTATAATAGTGGTGGTGAGTGTGGTAGTGATGGTGGTATAATAGTGGTGGTGAGTGTGGTAGTGATGGTGGTATAATAGTGGTGGTGAGTGTGGTAGTGATGGTGGTATAATAGTGGTGAGTGTGGTAGTGATGGTGGTATAATAGTGGTGGTGAGTGTGGTAGTGATGGTGGTATAATAGTGGTGGTGAGTGTAGTAGTGATGGTGGTATAATAGTGGTGGTGAGTGTGGTAGTGATGGTGGTATAATAGTGGTGAGTGTGGTAGTTATGGTGGTATAATAGTGGTGGTGAGTGTGGTAGTGATGGTGGTGTAATAGTGGTGGTGAGTGTGGTAGTGATGGTGGTATAATAGTAGTGATGAGTGTGGTAGTGATGGTGGTATAATAGTAGTGATGAGTGTGGTAGTGATGGTAGTGGCGATTGTGGTCAAAAACTAGATTTGCTGTTCCCAAACACAAAACTGTCTATGCAGTTCTCCTAGTTTGCCTGTCAACATAATAAAATTTCACCGCAAAACAAAAACATATTTGGCTTCATTAGCGCCCAGGTTGGGCAAACGTGATAAGAGCTGTCACTCGCGGAATTCCCTGGCCACGATAATGTCTGTTTTACGTGTATCGTCTGGTTCCCATGAACCAGAAATTACACGTTATCAGAATTTGTCTCGTGGTTGCTTTTCCCCGCTCTCTTGTTTATGAATCTTCAGAAGTCTGTGGTGGCAAACATCCTGGCTAATTTTTTTTTCTCAGCTCCACTCAAAAACAGGCTGTCTTTTTTTTCAGTGTTTTTGTTCCCCCTGGGAAATATATGGATATGTGGATGGATGGATGGATGGATGGATGGGTGGATGGATGAATGGATGGAAGGATGGATAAATGGTGGGTGGACGCGTTGATGGATAGACTAATAGGTGTGCCGAGGTGGATAGATGAATAAATGGATAGATAAATGAATGGATGGATGAATAGATTGATGGATAAATGAATGGATAGACGAATTATTGGATAGATGGATGGATGGGTGGAGGGAGGGAAGGACAGACAGATAGACAGACAGACAGACAAACAGACAAACAGACAGACAAACAGACAGACAGACAGACAGACAGACAGACAGACAGACAGACAGACAGACAGACAGACAGACAGACAGACAGACAGACAGACAGACAGACAGACAGATTAGATAGATAGATAGATAGATAGATAGATAGATAGATAGATAGATAGATAGATAGATAGATAGATAGATAGATAGATAGATAGATAGATAGATAGATAGATAGATAGATAGATAGATAGATAGATAGATAGATAGATAGATAGATAGATAGATAGATAGATAGATAGATAGATAGATAGATAGATAGATAGATAGATAGATAGATAGATAGATAGATAGATAGATAGATAGATAGATAGATAGATAGATTAGACAGACAGACAGACAGACAGACAGACAGACAGACAGACAGACAGACAGACAGACAGACAGACAGACAGACAGACAGACAGACAGACAGACAGACAGACAGACAGACAGACAGACAGACAGACAGGAAGTCCTTAGGGACTCTGCCATCCTTTATTCTCCAGGTGTGGCCCAGCCACCTGACCCTTCGTAGACAGTGCACTGAAAAGACTGTTGTAAGACCTGTTATTTCCAATACCTCAGTGTGTGTGATTTTGTTCTACCACTGAATGCCAAGTATTCTTCTTAATGACAACAATGTAAGTAGGTAATCAGACATATGGTGCCATGTTTGGGACACACGGACAACCGCCGTTCACACATGGTGCGATGTTTGTGACACCGTTCACACATGGTGCGATGTTTGTGACACCGTTCACACATAGTGCGATGTTTGTGACACCGTTTACACACGGTGCATAGCCAGGAGATACAGATTTTCCGTTTTAAATTTCATTTCTGTTCAATTTAAATGTTACGTCCGACCGAGTTTTCCAGTCCCGGCTGCTCCCTAGGAATTTGATCCGCAAAGACCAAATGAATCGCATCCTGGATGTCAGTCCAACGGCACAAAACCCAGATAGCTTCTTGTTCAACTTCTTGAGAAGTTAGAAATAAAGAGTGAAGAACTTCAGTTGTGCATCGTGAATAGGATGTTAGGCTCATATTTGTACAGACAGACCAACCCGCACTCGGTGGCTGATGTCGTGAACTTCGCATCCGCCGCCTTTGCTTTCTATTAACTGGTACAAATTTTACGCTGTATGCATTATTTCGTAATGTATCCTTTTTTTTTTTTTTAAATATATTTAACATGCATTACTGATAACATGCAATTATAAGGTGGGCCTGCCTGCCCAATTTATAACCCTTTACAAATAAAGTTTGTTCGTTCGTTCTTTCACTCGTTCGTTCGTTCGAGTCTTCTTCTTCTTCAGCGATCTCTGGTCATGCGCATAATCCACGGTGGGTCATAAACTGGGATGTCTTTTCAAGGTCTCTTAGGTTTCCCCAAAGCTTAGTTGTCAGTTCTACTGGGTGTTGCCAAATGTCGCTCCGCAGCTCCGCCAGGAGAGGACAGTCTTGCAGGACATGTTCTGGAGTCTGTTCAGCACGAAGACACTGACAGAGAGCTGTTTGGCTCATACCTAATTTATATGAGTGTTTATTGAGTCTGCAGTGTCCAGTGCGTAAGCGAAAAAGTTCGAGTCTAAAATCATATCCTTCCTAGGCGTCAATAGAGTAAGCAAATGTACCTTTTTTTTTTTTACATGGTTACTATTTTAACGCTTGATGGTTTACAGGCTGATTTGACGTAGTTGAGTACTTGATTAGTGCAGAGCCGTCTTAACATTAGTATCGGCCACTGGGCAAACCAGTGTGCTGATGACCCCACGACAGCCACTCCACATACACAGATTATCTTGGCGGTCCCTATCCTCGTGGGGCCCCCGGCCAATTGCCCAACGGTCCAAAGCGTACAGACGGCACTGATTTAGTGTTGGACCACATGACGGCTGCCTTATGTATTTACCCTGCGTGTGCAAGCTTCATGATTTTGCCGGGACTTACATATTTTTTTACTCGTTATTTTTGTCAACGGGAAAGTGAAAGACACTCTGTATGATTTCCACCTGCACAGAAAGCGACCACTTATGGGAAAACTCGTAGGCAGTGAAGTTCGAGCCTTGTTAAGAGGTTAAAGTTGAGAGAATCGACTTATTGTACTCGATTTTATCTCATATTCCTCAGTCTCTCTCGGCATAACAGCTAGCCGCCTGTCGAGACAGTCGCATTAAGTACAAACACCGAAGCTCCAGCAACGATCTCCAAAAGTATCCGTACACACTGCACTCGTAAACGAAAGACGCGGCCGTTAAACGAATCCACGACACTGAGAGTGCGAAACAAACGACTAAATTTTCAGTTAATTCCCCTCCTGTTTCGTTTTGTCACACCAGCTGTTCGGCACTTTCTAGACAACCCAGGGTCTGGCGGAAAGTTAAAGTACACTGGAAATGGCTGGCAGACCGCAGACGATCGAGTCCTGGCTAGAATCCCTGAATATGGCGGAGTATGTTAACCTATTCCGAAAATATGGAGGAGTTGAGGTAACTGTTACAAACTTTTTTTTAATGATTTTGTGGTAACTGTAACATACATTTTTTTTTATTTGTTTGTTTGTTTATTTGTTTACTTTCCAGATGCTTTGGTTTCATTTTCGAAATTAGATTAATCTATTATGAAAAATAGCATTTGCTTAATTATTGTAATGTTTTAGTCGTAAATATTTCGTTTCCGTATTTCCGTTATAAACTTTTACGGTTTTTTTTTTTTTTTTATGGTAGATTATAAGTTAGGATTTGAAAATTAAAAAAATTAAAATTGCCTAGCCATTAGAGTGAAAATCGAGAACGACAAGGGCCATAGGTTAGGTTAGGTTAGTTGCGTATCCTTTACAGGACGTTGCAGAACCAACCCAAACAGCCCCTGGCTGTTGTTTGGTTTTTCTAGGCAAATTTACGTCCAGTAGTTTGTCATTTCTTTTCGGGCGGTCAGCTTTCTTGATACCACTGTCGAAACCAACGCAAGACGCATGGCTCGCAGCTGGGATCGAACCCGGCATGCCGGTATTACGAAGCGTTCGCATCGACTTAGCCACAGAGCCGACGACAAAGGCCATAGCTCAAAGATATTAGATGAAAACTGTGTTGGATGTTAAGTCCCCTAGGTAAATTGTCGCTGCTGGGAAGGAAGAGGCTCTTCTATGGAGACTTACGGACTCAGCAAGAAGCAAAAGATCAAGTGGTTTGCTATAATGCAGTCACAACTACCAACACAAGCGCTGCAATGCACATATCTGGTGTTAAAGAAAGAGGCAAAAGAGTAGATGGGTTTATGACATTAAAGACATTCATTCTTCTATATCGCATGGATAAACAATATCCAGTGCTACCCATAGAGCAATGGATTGCAAACTGTTACTCCCCACGCCGCTTAATTAGAGTAATGTAAAGGACCCTTTTCCACGCAGTCAGGCATATTTGGCATAAAGTGCTAGACCTCTATTTTATAGACTAATCGGCACTCGGTGGGCGACGAGATCAACATCACCTCGGCCACCTTTACTTCCCAGGACTTTACCTGGTACCCATTTAAAGCTGGGTCGACCTGGGAACCAAGGTCATTTGTGGAGGACAAAAATCATACGTGACTTGAGGCATAAGCAGAAGTTGATGACGATGCTGACCGTTACAGTGCTAGCTGCCTGGGACGAACAAGACGTCGATACCAACTTACCAAACTCTCAAACGCTACAGTTTCGAAACAGGAACTGCAACAAGTGGGCAGACGCCGAAACGTATGACTAAAACTGTGTAAGTTCAAGGACCGGAAACAATTCAGACTACAACAGAAATGCCTGTTCGGGTTATATCCCGGGGTATGAGTTTCCCATCAGTGAGTCCGTTAGAGCTGATCACTTCCAATCATGAACCGGAAACTGAGGTTGGGAGCCGGCGACTTCATGTCTGCTAAAGATCAGGATGGGTCGAAAGGCTACCATAACATACTTAGTAAATATGTGAATGAGATCAGGATGGGTGTAGAAACTACTACAGCTGACGCAACTGAAGATTTAGTATGAATTACATATATAATAAACAAACAGATAAGGTACTGATTGGCGCTCACAGAAAGAATTAGAAAGATATTACACACTAGACAACATAAAAATCGAAAGTCAAAGTTTCCGTGCCGGGAATCGAGTCTGTCACCTCAGAATGGCCTTTGCGCCTCGCTATGGGAACAAGTGAACTAAGAATAGACATAAAGGATACGCAACTAACTTAGCGCATGGACGTGCCGACACACAGATGATGCAGCCGTTTGAGCGACAGATAAAAATCTTAACTTAATCACAGAAATTAGAGACACAGATTTTTGTATATGAGGAGAAATAGAACTAATAATTTAGCGTCTACCGGTAAACTTAATAAACACAAAGGAGCAGTGGTAGACATGGATCACATCTTGAGTATATGCATCTCGTTGATTTTGCCACACGCTAATGTGGAGCACCTAAGCAAACCTCGGAGCAGGGCTGTCAACAGTTTGTCAGAAAATGTGAGAAAATCTGGCCAACAAGAGAAACTGGAGCACCAGTAAAAATCGCATGTACATCATCATGTCGATATCGAAACAGATGCAAAGCAAACATTGAAGGGAAAGGAGAAGAATTAATTCTATAAGGCTACTAACAGTGACTTTCTTTGTCTTTTTTTTTCCCGCAGGATCTTACATTTGCAACAGAGGCTGAGATTAAAGATCTAGGAATCAGCAACATCGCACACAGAGTCAAGATCGCATCAAGTCTCCGTGTTCTCAAAGACACATTTGAAAATGGTAGTTTGGAACTCCTCTCGCCGTCATTTCCTCCACTTTTGTTTTGGCTCTCTCTCTCTTTCTCTCTCTCTCTCTCTCTCTCTCTCTCTCTCTCTCTCTCTCTCTCTCTCTCTCTCTCTCTCTCTCTCTTGTTATCACACATTCGATAAACACCCGGTGACACAAAGTGCCACCATGCGGATGAGAATCACCCGTGGAGAAGTCCCGGAAACCCCTTTCAGCCGCTAGGCCAAATTTATGGTCCGGCTATATTCAGGGCCGCCGACAAAAGCCAGGGTGGGGCTTCAAACAACGAAAAATGGCATCTCACATGAGGACGACTAAGGTAGATACAATGTTCGGTTATTTCCCTTCTTTAACAAAAGTAAGTTGCGTGCCCTTGACTTCACCTTGAACCAACCCTAGCATTTTATTGGCAGTTTTCCCACTGCTTTCTGACTGCCAGCTCTTGATAGCAGTGTTAAACCCAAAGCAAGGCAGTCTGTCGCCAAATCGCCCGCAGCTTGGATCGAACCGGGATTCTCTGCATTACAAAGCGCTTTCACAACGCCTAAGCCACAGGTGGAATATAATGTTAGAGTACACAGGACAACAGTCACCAACAACACAAGATGAGACAACATACGAGAGATGGTGCCTGATTTGCTTCTTCTCTTCTTGTTCGCCTTTAACAACTGTAAAATCCGGTAGAAAGTTCTTGTTTTTCGTCCACTTCTGGACTTTAGTCTGGTTCCAAATATTGAGTTTTGCGTGCATATCCGTTTTACAAATCTGGCTTATTGGTAAGCAAAGTGTCGGTTCTTTGTATCTCAGAAAGATGCACTCTAGCTTCGAAGGAAATATCCCTGATTAGTCGACCTTTACGACATACTTCCAAGGGGAGCAGTGATTCTATAATTCCCCCCCCCCCCCACACACACACACACACACACAGAATGGGGCCCTGAAACCCATATGGTGCCCTGATTTACCTGAAAGACGGGGAACGAATGGTTTGGCAGCCAGACCAAACTGTATATAAAGCACGACATCTGGGCGGAAGGCGAGAGGATGACCAAGGACGAGATGGATAGACGATGCAATTGAGTCTTGCAAAAAGATGAACAAATCCATTACTCAAGCCATTCGAGGTATACAGAAAACCACTACACTGGGCTAAAAACTGGTAACAGTGAGACTAAAGAAGAAGATGAAGACAACAGACAACAATGACCAGAAGAAAGATGGCGCTCATTTGTAATAATGTCACAGGTTGTCATTCAATACAGTACTTCAATGAAAGTTGGACAACTTGTTGACACAAAATTAATGTAATCAATTTTCGGGAAGTTTGTTCGTTGGAAATCTCTCTCTCTCTCTCTCTCTCTCTCTCTCTCTCTCTCTCTCTCTCTCTCTCTCTCTCTCTCTCTCTGTGTGTGTGTGTGTGTGTGTGTGTGCGTCGCATTCTCCCACTCTATCTTTTCCCTCTCCTTCTCTTCTTCCCTTTATCGCCTTCCTTACGTCGCTCTCTCTCTCTTTCTCTCTCTTTCTCTCTCTTTCTCTCTCTCTCTGTCTCTCTCTCTCTCATTCTCTCTCTTTCTCTGTCTCTCTCTCTGTCTCTCTCTCTTTCTCTCTCTCTTTCTCTCTCTCTGTGTCTCTCTCTCTCTTTCTCTCTCTCTCTTTCTCTCTCTCTCTTTCTCTCTCTCCCTTTCTCTCTTTCTCTCTCTCTTTCTCTCTTTCTCTCTCTCTCTCTGTGTGTGTGTGTGCGTCGCATTCTCCCACTCTATCTTTTCCCTCTCCTTCTCTTCTTCCCTTTATCGCCTTCCTTACGTCTCTCTCTCTCTCTCTCTCTCTCTCTCTCTCTCTCTCTCTCTCTCTCTCTCTCTCTCTCTGTGTGTGTGTGCGTCGCATTCTCCCACTCTATCTTTTCCCTCTCCTTCTCTTCTTCCCTTTATCGCCTTCCTTACGTCTCTCTCTCTCTCTCTCTCTCTCTCTCTCTCTCTCTCTCTCTCTCTCTCTTGCCCTAACCCTTCCCCTGTCTCACGTTCTCTTCCACTCCCCCCCCCCCCACCCCACCCCCCTTTTGCAGTTCTTTCTTGTTCTCACGCTGTGGTGTGCGTCTCTGCACGCGCACCGAAATTTTTATGACAGACAGACACTATTTAGTGACACTGGTTCTCGTTTGCAAAATCAGTGAATGATTGGCAGCTAACTTTAAGAGATAATTGTCTATGCTTGACAAAAGTAAGAATAACAGAAACATGTACTAACAACTGGGCTAAATGCAAAGACAGAAAGAAATAACGCTAACAGTAACATGGACTCCGAATAATCTACCAGGACGAACACTGACTACCCACGCATACCATCATGGCTCGATGTAGTAGTAGCAAAGTTCGTGAATGGTTATGTTAAGTGGTTTCCGCGTGGGAGAGACACCAATGGACTGATACACCATATATAAGATCACAGATACAAAGAGCATGATTTACAACTTGTTTCCTATTTGGTATTTCAGGCCATGTTAATAACAGTGGGTTGTTCTCGCCTCGACAGAGAATATGCGGTACATCTCAGTCGTAAGTGACGGTTCATTTACTGCATTATCATTGCAAACTTGCCAGTATCTAGTAGATTTACTAAACTATTGTGACATCATTGCCAGTATCTATTAGATTTACTATACTATTATGACATCATTGCCAGCATCTATTAGATTTACTATACTATTGTGACATCATTGCCAGTATCTAGTAGATTTACTATACTATTGTGACAACATTGCCAGTATCTACTGAAGTTACTATACTATTGTGACAACATTGCCAGTATCTACTAGGTTTACTATACTATTGTGACAACATTGCCAGTATCTACTGGATTTACTATACTATTGTGACAACATTGCCAGTATCTACTAGAGTTACTATACTATTGTGACAACATTGCCAGTATCTACTAGAGTTACTATACTATTGTGACAACATTGCCAGTATCTACTAGAGTTACTATACTATTGTGACAACATTGCCAGTATCTAGTAGATTTACTATACTATTGTGACAACATTGCCAGTATCTACTAGAGTTACTATACTGTTGTGACAACATTGCCAGTATCTACTAGAGTTACTATACTATTGTGACAACATTGCCAGTATCTACTAGAGTTACTATACTATTGTGACAACATTGCCAGTATCTACTAGAGTTACTATACTATTGTGACATCATTGCCAGTATCTAGTAGATTTACTATACTATTGTGACAACATTGCCAGTATCTACTGAAGTTACTATACTATTGTGACAACATTGCCAGTATCTACTAGGTTTACTATACTATTGTGACAACATTGCCAGTATCTACTGGATTTACTATACTATTGTGACAACATTGCCAGTATCTACTAGAGTTACTATACTATTGTGACAACATTGCCAGTATCTACTAGAGTTACTATACTATTGTGACAACATTGCCAGTATCTACTAGAGTTACTATACTATTGTGACAACATTGCCAGTATCTACTAGAGTTACTATACTATTGTGACAACATTGCCAGTATCTACTAGAGTTACTATACTATTGTGACGACATTGCCAGTATCTACTAGAGTTACTATACTGTTGTGACAACATTGCCAGTATCTACTAGAGTTACTATACTATTGTGACAACATTGCCAGTATCTACTAGAGTTACTATACTAGTGTGACAACATTGCCAGTATCTAGTAGATTTACGATACTATTGTGACAACATTGCCAGTATCTACTAGAGTTACTATACTGTTGTGACAACATTGCCAGTATCTACTAGAGTTACTATACTATTGTGACAACATTGCCAGTATCTACTAGAGTTACTATACTATTGTGACAACATTGCCAGTATCTACTAGAGTTACTATACTATTGTGACAACATTGCCAGTATCTACTAGAGTTACTATACTATTGTGACAACATTGCCAGTATCTACTAGAGTTACTATACTATTGTGACAACATTGCCAGTATCTACTAGATTTACTATACTATTGTGACAATAATGCCAGTATCTACTAGATTTACTACACTATTGTGACAACATTGCAAGAATCTACCTATTTTTTTTATTGTTATGTTATGTTATGTTATGTTATTACACTCGACATCACTGCTCTTTGAGCATTCCCATGCGTGCTCAGTCCTCCAATGCCGCAGCCACTCCAAAGTACTTCTACTAATTGTTCCCATGAGAAGTTGGTTATATTGTCTCCTATCTCGGCCTCGAAGACAGCATAGACGTGCATCACCATGATTTACTCCCATGTCACGCAATTGTGTTAGTGTCAGGGATTCCTCATATCCACTAGCCCAGTCCGTACAGCGTTGGCAATATCTGCTCTGCCAATGCTTCTTCCCATATACCATAGTGCAATGCTTGCTAGATTGTCAGCTCGCACATTTCACTTTACGCCCGCACGACCAGGTGTGTAGGTCCAGGATTATCTGTCTGTGGTACAATATATTAAGAGCAGAATTGGCCAGCAGCATTTCAGAAAATGAAAAGCATCTTATGTAATAAATCACTCTCATTACACATTAGAAAACGAGTCCTGAAATGTTACATCGAGCCTATTCTGTTATATTTCGGTGAATCTTAAAATGTCACCCCCCCCCCGCCCCCCACCCTCACCCAAATTTAGAATTGTGTAGGCAACTGAGATGTGGTTCGTGGGAAGAATGTTTTGAATACCCTGGACTGCCAGAATAACTAACAACGATTGCCTAGAAATGGCTCATGAAAGTAAGACCTTATATACAACAATGAGAAGGAGACAAAGTTCTTTGGTCATCTGCTTCTGATGTCCCTGTTGTAAGAAATACTTTGTTACTGCTATTATTACAAGCTGATCAGATCTTTCTTAATTCGGTTGGGCTAACCCTGTCAACGGTTGGGTGCAGAAGTCGAATGTGACGGCCGAAGGGCGCAAATATCGCAGCCATGGTGTAAACAGGCACAACGCGATTACATCTTTGAATGAACGCTGAAGAAGACAATCTTCTTAATGATATCTGGTGTGCTTAGAATTTGTCTGCAACATTTAAATAACGACAACATACACAAACATTCGTCATAGCTAATTGACATTTTCGTTTTTGTTTTTTAAACAAGGGTGCCCAACTCTCCAACATCATCTTATCCTGACTTCCAACATATGATTGTCTCCCCTGAGAAGCTTCAAACTGATCTCCAGAGGGAATTCTCCGGTGACCCGGCAGAACTTCGCAGCCGCTCCTGGTACCACGGCAGCATCACGCGGGTGGCGGCAGAATCCCTGGTCGCAAACAACGGCGACTTCCTCATCCGAGACTGCATCTCGAAACCTGGAGACTTCGTTCTGACATGCAAATGGAACGACACGCCCCTGAACTTTATCATCAACTCCATTGTCGGCTACCGTAACCCTAGGGCCCTGCCTGTGATATCTTATCAGTTTGAAGAGGAGCAGTTTCCTACGATTCAGCAACTCATAAAACATTACCAGGATCAAAGTAAACCAGTCACTACTGCATCTGAAGCCGTTCTCCAGAACCCAGTGGCTCGGTCTGTCCCACTGTGTTACTACGATAGTAAATACCGCGCCTCCAGTTGTAACGTCACTCCGACTCACAGCCCTCAATCTAGCCCCTTTGTGACCCCGTCCACAAGCCCCAGGTCCAGTCCTAACATGAATCGTCGCCTGATCACGCCGCTGGACAACCAGTCCAGTCACTCCAAGCGTTCCTGTGAGGACGCAAACAATAACAACAATACTAATAACAACGGGGGATTTCAGAAACACGTTCGGCCTCCGTCAATAGATAACCTGCCGGTAATTAATGTTACACCCCCTGGAGGGAACGTCTCTTATCTACAGTCACATCAGGTTCAACAGAAGGCTGATCGATCGGCACCAACTTGCATTAGGGTCAACAGTGCTCCAGAACTGTCTAACGGTTATGGAAGATCTAGGCAACCAGAGTTGGAACAAAACGGTCTCCATGGAGACTCTTCAGAAAGTGAGTTCACAAACAACCCTCCTCCAAAGCCTAGTAGGATTCCGTCCGTCAAATACAAACTAAATTCAGCGACTGATTTCAAGGATGGTATTTCCGAAAGTGACAGTAACACAGAAACAGGACTGAAGTATGTTGGCCCAGAAACATTTTACACATTTGACGATGACCACCAGAAACGAATTTCCCCTACGTCAACACGAAACCAGTCCGAGAACAACAATTGCCTGGACTACAAAAAGATATATAACAAATTCATTCACCGCACAGAAGTTGAACATAATGAGGTTCCTACATCGCCTAGCAGCTCGCCAAACTTACAGAAACACAGAAAGAGCCAGAGTCCCAGAACCTCGCCATTTTTCTCTTCAGAAACGAATAACACTTCTCGGGAACGAACTTACCAACTGGTAGCACGAAGTAGGTCTTTCCAGCAGCCTGCAACGCAGCTGACTAAATGTACACAAACAGAAAGCAAGACGCTTCCAAACACATTTTCAAAGATCAGATTTGGAAAGTTAAGATTACCTTGTACGAGTGAACAGGACAATCAAGATAAACACAATCATAAAGAGATTGTGGAACAAGCATTCACTGGAGTTCCTGACAGCGTGTCAAGTAATTGTAGGTGTATGGCAAGACCTCATGTCTTCCAGAGTTATATAGTCCCAGAGACATTCACAAGTGGCCTTTTGCCCAAGGATCACAAACTGCTTGATCAGTCGGTCCTGCTGAATGTTAAAACCATCCTTCTGAACAAATCACCCGAAGACACCGCCCTTCATCTCACAAAGTACGACCTAGAACTGACCTTTGCTGTCAGTGCCAAAGATTTCGGCCTCGGCGTTACTTCTGGTCTAGAATTACTGACCCTTCCCCAAGGAAATATCCTGCGACAGGATGTCATAGAACGGTGGGAAAGTCTCAGAATGTTCACCCAAGCCACACTCCTTACATCTCAGACTGTGGGTGAACGGGCCAGATTGTTCCGCTTCTGGATATTGACATGTCACGAGCTAAAGAAAACTGCAGGCAACTATTTCAGTTTCGCAGCAATCATGGCAGCGTTAACTAGTCCCCAAATAAGTCGACTGACCGATACCTGGACGACCCTAAGACAGACTCACACAGCAAGCGCTGTTGTCTTTGACACAAAACTGCGTCCAGAATTTACCTCACTCAACGATGCTACAAGTAACCTTCCATTGAAAAATGTTTGCGTTCCTTACATTACTCCCGTGTGTTATCTCCTGGAAAGGGATGCAGAATCCACTCTTCAGGACTACTTTTGGGAAGATGGATTGGATCCTATCGCTAGTGCTATCGATGTTCTTCTCAACCACCTCGACCTAGCTCGCGTGATAGCTTCACAGGTAACTCGGTATCGAGTTACTGGTAAAGCCATTCTGGCAACTGTTAATTTTGACCCTGAGCTGAGTCAGATTCTAAGTCCAGAGTTCCACATCTTGCTTCTCTGGGGGAACAAAGGCCGGAATGTCAACAGACAAGACCGGTTGAACAAGTTAGGGCAGATATTTACTCTCCTCTCCCACAAATGTCAGACGCCTGAAGATTGCGACACAGAAGTCTAGTCAATGGTGATCCACGATACATACGTTTTAGTTCCTTAGATTGCGACACAGAAGTCTAGTCTATGGTGATCCACGATACATACGTTTTATTTCCTTCTAAGTCGGCGAGGAACCAACTGTGCGCAAATCAGCCAGATATGTAAAACGGATGTGCACGCAAAATTCAAGTTCTAGAACAAGATAAAAGTCCAGAAATGGACGAACAGCCAGCAATATTTCGCTGAATGTTACAGCTGGTGAACATCAAGAAGACTGCGTTTAGTGAGATCTTGAGGTTAAGACATAAACTTTCTCCTCTCGTGTTTGTCCTATCTGCTGTACGCTTAGTTCTAAGCAGTAATATTCTTCAAACATGGCTGTGCATGTAAAATAGTCGCCCTGCTTCTTTCATGTTTTTGCGTGTGGATGTGTGTGTGTGTGAGAGAGAGAGAGAGAGAGAGAGAGAGAGAGAGAGAGAGAGAGAGAGAGAGAGAGAGAGAGAGAGAGAGAGAGAGAGAGAGAGAGAGAGAGAGCGCCTGTTCGTTCTCTGCCCCCACATGTATTTTTAAAATGTGTATTTTTTTAATTAAAAAAATAACGATTCTCAAATTATCTTGACTGAATTTAAGTCTAATGATACAAGATGCTGGTCTCGTTCGCTTTCCAACAGACTCGGTGGAAGCTTAATTGTCTTCCACATTCATTTCATCAAAAGTTAGTTCTGCCTCCCCCCCCCCCCCCACCAAGTAACTCTAAAGACGTCAATTTTGCTGCAGAATTAGTCTAGCCACTATATGGTTGCTGCTCCCTATTTAAACTGAATTAACCATTAAAGTTTTAATCAGTAACTTTTTGTACCACAGTGCAGATCTGATAAGGAAAACTCACCTGGGACCATAGAATTTGTTTTTCTTATCAGAAATTCCTTATTTAGATATGAATTCAAGCAAGAAAAATTGCCGGGGACAGACAAATTCTTTTTCACAACAGAAACTCGCCACATCCAAGATTGCCTTACGTGGTCTGTACTGTTATCTACAAACAAACGTGTAGGCTTCTTTAAAAGACAGACACAATCACAAGCTATCGACAGTAAACTATTCCTGCCTGCAAAGTACTGCCCACCATACTGATCACACAAACAAGCACAAATGATCAATAAATAATTAAAAGAAAGCGGACACAAACAATCATCATCATCAGCAGGTTCTTTGCAGAATCTCATCACAGTCTACTTGAAAGAAACTTGGTCTCTTGCCAGCTCTCCCGCTTCATGAACTTTCCTACCCAAGGAGTCACTTATATCCTGTGTCTATCTTCACGCTGGTTGGCCTCTGCCCCTCCCTCTTGGCACCATGCCTACTGCTATAATTTGTCCAATCTGCCTTAGCACTTGATATGGCCAAAACATTTCAACTTCTGAGACAGGATGCTGTTTATTAGCCAAACTTCCTTCCTTATTCAGATCTTTTAGAATTTCAGTATTTCTTTTCTTCTTTGTCCATGGTTTTCTGAAAAGCCATCTATAGCATTTCAGCTCAAATGCCCATATTTTCTTCCTCAAGGATTGCAAGATAGTCCAAGACTATCCGTATTTTGCTATAGAGAAGATGCATGCTCTATAAATTTTGACTTTGATTTTGTTGCTAGTGCTTAACCATAATACACAACCAATATACTGCATAACTGATTGACTGGCATATCTCGTTCTTGCTCGTCAGTTGCATTACTACAGACTTCATACCAACATACTCCCTGTGTGGATTCCGGGGCCCCTTTTTGGGGAAAACAAGAACAGATCCACTGTCTCCCCAACAAGCTTGTTGTAAGAGTTCACTAATTTGTGACATCCTTTGAGGTCGGAGTACATCTGCCTGGGAGGCAAGGGACCACAAGTCTGCACACAAATAAGCCAAATATGTGAAACAGATGTGCATGCCACACTCAGGTTCTTTAGCAAGACTAACATCCAGAGGTGGACGACCACCCAGAGCTTTCCGTCAGAGTTTACAGCCGGTGAACACAAAGAAGAAGAAGATACCAACATACAACAAATCACAAAAATGAAACACGTGTGGCAATAAATTGTACTACAAACTTTTTGTGTCCCTAAATTCACAAGGGAAACACAATGAGTTAAATAAATAGTCAACCAATTTCCATGTCAGTTAAAACAATGCCCATTTTAATGATTTACTTCTCACGGGCTTAAATTTAGGTTAGTATGTAACAATGAATCAGAAATAACATCAAAACTAACTCAAATCTTATTTAATCATTACAATAAACTTATCAGCCAGTGAATTAATAACAGATGTTGTGTACAGAAAGACAATGGCTGGTCAACTGGTTTAGAATGCTGGGCTAACATGTAGGAGATCCAGGTTTGAATGCTCAGTAAGGTCATAGATTTTCTGTCGGAGGCTTAAAAAAAAAAATCCTCACCTGCACAGTCTGTGCCGACAGCACTAGCCTTGAAACCTCAAATCCTCATGCTCAAATATCCCCCTGCCGACACCGCATATACTAATATGAAAATATCATATGACATAGGTGTTGACTGAAGAGATTAAGCCTCTTCTACTGCATTGAACAGCTCACTCTTTCTGGACTATAGCGGCACATGTAGGGAAGTATCTGTTGGATGCTACGTGCTCCCTGAGGTATCCTTCCCCCATCTCTTCGTAGTCCTGCCTAGTGATGGAGCTGACGTTCAGGTACGGAGACAGGGAAAACTTCCTAGCACCATTCCAGGCATCTAAACTTGGGTTTCCTGTCAATTATATCAACAGAGTCAGCATTTTTTGTAATCAATCAATTACTTTTCACAGGAAAGGAAATGTAATCATATTAACTGTTTTAGTCTGGGAGTGGAGAAGAGGGGGTTATCATCAGAGGCCCATGGAGTAGTACAGCGAAAGATATAATCGGTACTTCTTGCATTTATTGGGCGTCTAGGTAGGAACCTGTGAATGCATGGTGCATTCATTGTACTGAAAGAGTTATTACTGATAAAAAAGTTAAGTCATGTAATTCCAAATCAAAATTTTCTTGATGACAAAAAAATCAGCAACACTTTCTTTACATGGAAAATTACCAAAAACAAAATAAAGGAGCTGTTTCCCACCTTTAGGTATATAGGGCTAGACCTATATTTTATAGACCAATCGGCACTCGACTGTTGATGAGGTCAACATCACGCTGGCCGCCTTTACTTCCTATGACATAATCTGATACCCGGCTGGGTCAACCTGGGACACAAGGCCAGATTCTTGACACAATGTATGAAAATTTGGCACATTTAGTGGAAACAGAATAAAATGAAATATGAATTTTCCAAAAATGTCAGTCTTCTTCGTCAATCACCTTTCCTTTCATTCCTTTGCTCTTTCTCAGAATGCGCTTTAAATATGGACTGGCACCCTGTTTTTCGTTACAATGAGATCTGCATACACCACAGGAATATCTCCAAGTTGTTTCTGTTTGTGAATCATTGTGGGAGACTGTGAGTTTTAGCTCTTTGGCACAATGTACTGTTGTTCAGAAAGTTTCAGCCTATTGAAGCTAAGTTGGTAAAGACTTTTTGATACCCACATTAGGTTGTAACAACATAAACACTCACGTCAATTCTTTTCACACTTCAATGTTGATGAGGATTTGAACACACGGCTGGCAGGTAAGCAGGCTACCCTCTTTGAAACATTCTATTATTTCACAAAACTTGCACTCACCTGCACAGGACACATTGAAGGAGCTTTGGAAAGGCCTCATCTGCAGCAGATCTCTCTCAACCCTTAGCTTGAAGTTTTTGAAATTGGCATTTCCTCCAGCCAGGAACACGTTCTGTTCAAAACAAGCTTGTCTGTTCAATTCTCTATTCTTACGTCCCAACAAATAACTAATTTAGAAAATGATTAGAGAAACTAGATATAGAAAGTCAGTGTTTTTCAGACAGGCTATGAGAAGGAATTTTGTAACGACTCTCTCAGGTTCTAGTCGCATGCACACACATGATTTATGTTTTTTCTCATCTGGCACACTTTCAGCCAACTTGCACACTTGCCTCAAGTTATTCATTACTCGATTCTGTTCCTGCATACATTATACTTTGTAATCGATACCAGGCACATAATTTATGCTTAGTAGTTAACCTCATTTGCTAATGAGAACATTAATTAACAATAAGCAAATGACTCATTACAAATGGACTCAAGAATGAGGTAAGATTGATAGAAAGAGAGCAAGATAAATATCTGGATGACTTGGCTTCATGGATCAGGCGAGATAAGAACACTGACCTCATCTGTGATTATAGTGAAACATGACAGCTTATGCTTATCTGACTGTCACATTATAAAATTGATACAGAAACCAGTAAACACAAAACTGTTATAGCAGAATATTATGGGAATTGTCTGCTTCTTCTTGGTATTCACCGGCTGTAAACTCAGGTGGAAAGCTCTGGTTGTTCATCCACTTCTCAACCTTAGTCTTGTTCCAGAACTCGTGTTTTGCATGCATGCCTATTTCCCAGATCTGGCTTGTATTTATATGCAGACTGAACGTTCCATGACAATTCAATTTCAAATGAAACATCCCTAATTAGTCTACTCTTACAACATGCTCTTTAGACGGACAGTGAGGGTTTTTTTTTGTTTACCGAAGTGTTGTCTCAGAAGCAAAGGATGTGAGGAAGAAAAGAGGCCATCATATTCTAAAGGTCATGGCCAGTGTACTTAACAGAACAGTCCCAGAAATTAAAAGGGTAGGATCAAATCTAGAACGCACATAATATTTTAAAAAAGTGGAGATCCTGGTGGAAACTAAAATATAACCAGGGGCGGGGATACTTGGGATCACATCAAGAAACAATTGTTTAGGGTTGGTGTCCCAAAGACTTTCTAGCTTATAGGGGAAAAGGTAGGGAAGAAGTGAAAGGTGGGAGAGGGCAGAAAAAAAAAAAAGGTAGGAGAGAAGGGAAGAAATGAAAGTATGGAGGGGGCAACAACAACAAAAAGGCAATAACTAAAAGGGAAGGAATGAAAAAAGAGAAGAAAAGATAAAAGAAGAAAATGTAAAAGACAGAGAGATCAGAAGAAAAGAGGGTTGTTACCTGAACAACTCGATCTTGTACTTGTCTGTCCAGTTTGCCAAGAATAAATTCCATTGTTTCACTGAGACCTGCCTGCTCAAGGCCCAGCATCGATGGCTGGAAGAGAAGTTCCGGCACCCTGAAGGAATCACAGACAGAACTGATGTCATCGTTATAAAATAAATTAGTCTGAATTAAGCAAGACAAATACAGACAACCATGACACTGGTCTTCAGCCTGGTATCAGTGAGATCACAAAATCTATCTATCATCTTCTTTTACCCCACCAGAACATCAGACAAGCGGAAAACACCCGATGACACAAAGTGCCACCATGCAGATGAGGATCACCCGTATAGAGGTCCCAGAAACCGCATTCAGCCATTAGACCATATTTATGGCCAGGTTATATTGCGGCCCCTGACAAGAGCCAGAGTAGGGCTTCAAATAACGAAAAATTGCATCTCATAAGGAGATGACACTATTATATCCGAGAGATCACAAAAGAAGAAGAAGTATGAATTATTACATCAGGCCTTTAAACAATATGCATTGTAATTATCACACGCAGCTCCAACAGATCTGCCTCTAGTTTTGCATGTTTCAGCTTTCATTCTTTTCTTTTTCTGCTTTTATCCTTAACAGGCTGACCGGCACCAAGTGCTGTGGTTCACCATTCACCCCAACACATCCAATTTATACAAACCCCTAATAATTTGCCTCTCGTGACATTTTTATTTGGGGGATGTGAGGAATGGACAAATGTTCGATTTCTAACATATGTTGAAAAGGTTGACTAATTATGAGTGTTTCCTTTGCCTTGAAGTAGAGTACATCTGAGAAGCGAGGAAACAACAGTCTGCATACAAATAAGCCAAATCTGTAAAACAGATATGCATGGAAAATTGAATTTTTGGAACAAGACTTAAGTCCAGAAAAAAATACAGAACACCCCCCCCCCCCCCCCCCCCCCCCCCCCCTAGAATTGACAGGGAAAGTAATCAATAAATACAAATGGAGCAGACAATCAAGTTCATTCAACCCCTTTGGTCGAACAAACTTTTTACACCTGTTCTAAAAAACTGTAGTTCCTAACCAGGCCCCTGAGGGCTCTGCCTGCACCTTCCAGTGGCTTTGCGGCCGCTCCAGGAAAAAAAATAAAAACTAAATGAAATTAAAGATTCAGAAACACAAAGTATATTTTAAATAAGAAAACTAGAAATTGTATTCCGAATGGCAATTAGCCATGTTGAATTCAGTACCTCTTCTAATAGACCCTGCTTTGTTATTCTGCTGCCACTAGCTCCAAAACTATTGTAGCATGACAGCGATATGAACAGACAACAAAAGTGAGCAGTGATTCCACCTGCCATTCACACTATGTCACATGCCCTTCCTGGGATTGTCTTTTTAACATGGATCGTTGGCTTCAAACGTACTCTGACGGGGAATAATGTTATTTTTGTAATGGTATGGCCACATTTTGACAACAGCATGTATACTGGTGGTAGTTGAGAATAAACTATCATGGTGAATTTCAGCTTGTAAAATATAATTTCATTACATGGACAATGCACAGTTGTTTAGATATCTCTTTACATCTGCTTACTATCTAAATCCTCTTCATAAGATTATTTCTAAATATCATTAACTTGCAGGACATAGTGTATGGTAAGGGGCTCTGTCATTTAAAAAAACTGATTCTAAGAAATCATAAACACTGGTAACCACTGCTATAGAATGCTGACAATTCTTTGAACATGAAAATTTACTCCGCCATTCCAGGTTTACCTATGTAATCAAGCATAGAATGCTGAGCCACTAACCTCATTCTCTCCACACCCAGGTGTAGTCGATAATATTCAGCCAGATCAAATTCTCCAGACAGACCACCCATATCTACATCCCTGTTGATGAAACATTCTGCTTCATTATTTTAAGCCAACACATAGCAGTAATAATGAGATTACAAATGAAGGAACTGAGGAAGAAAACAAAATGTTCATCAATGAAAACTATTTTCAAAGGAAGAAGATGGAGATGGCTTGGAGCGGCTTGGACATTTTTGCTGTTTAAGCTGTTGGCTTTGTTGAGACGGCAACCCGTTTCAATATTTTTTTCACAAAGGACAGTGATGGACATTCTCAGTCATTATATGTGTGTTTTTTCCCCCAGCACAGGAATGAAACAACTATGGGGTGTATGGATGACCTGTTTGGCATGAAGTAAGGACTGTAATTAACTATGTTATATTATCTTACCATAATCAACATCACTAATATTAGGCATTCCCATGGGTGTTCTATCCTCCGATGCAACAACTACTCCAAGTTATCTCAGCTACTGATTAACTAGAACTGGGATTCACTGACTAACTATGTTGTGTTATGTTATCACAATCGATGACACAACACATTGGGCATTCCCATGGCTGCTCTGTCCTCTGATGCAGCAGCCTCTCCAAGCTACCTCTACCATTTATTTACTAATGATTCAACTGACTTCTTTTGGTTAGAGTGACTGACTTGCAAGACATAATCTCAGCAAACTACAGTCACAGCAAGCAAGATATCTACGATATGTATCAATATCTTCTTCTACAGCTTAGTGCTCACCAGTGGTAGATGCCGGCATAAAGTTCTGGCTGTTCATCCACTTATGAACTTTGATTTTGTTCCAGAACTTTAGTTTTGCATGCACATACATTTTATAGATGTGGTTTATTTGTATGCAGGTTACTCAGGCAGATGCAGTCCAAAATCAAACGGAAAATGCCTCAAATTAGTCACATTTTATGACATGCTTTATAGAGGGCAGTGGATCTATTCTACTCTACCCCAAAGTAGGGCCCCCAGACCCACAACGGGGAATGAATCCACATGAAAGAGATGCTCACTTCTGAAAGTCTTGATCGTGTTCTTTCAACAAAGTCTCAAGCTCCTCCAGCTTCTCTTCTTCAGCTTCGGAGTCACTAGTTCCACCTTCTCGATTCTGCAGAGGAAGAGAACTGCCATAAAGGATGCAAAGTAAGAGAAGTATATGTCAACCAAAACAATATAATAGCAATAAAGACATTTCTACTTCACCTTAGCATTCACCAGTTGTAAACTCTGGAGAAGAGAAGAGGGGGGGGGGGGGGGGGGGGTGGGACTTCTAGTAATTCATCCATTTCTAGACTTAGGTCTATTTTCAGAATATGAGTTTTGCATGCACATCCATTTTACAGACGTGACTCATTTGTATGCAAGCGGTTGGTTCCTTGCCTCACGCAGGCAGATGTGCTCTGACTTCGAGGGAAACTCCCCTAAATAATCACCTTGAAGGACATGACTGTTAGGGAGGCAGTGGGTCTATTCCTTTACCCCCATCCCCGGCAAATATGGGGGCCCAGGAACCCAAACAGGGATGAAGAAATTAAAGATGGCTCTCTACCATAGCAGTTCTGTGGGGAACATGGATAAATACTGATACTTTAAGAGTTCCAGTTGAAAAATTATGTTTCATAAAAAGGTTCTGTTCACGTTTCCAGGCCCTGGAACTTTCATTCACACTTTCTCAGACTCTTCTACGTCAGAGGGATGTCTTCCCTCCAATTACATTAGCACTGATGTTCCGTGTTCTATATTACATGACGACACAGCATTCAACGACCCCAGAATATGTACAACTGGCCCTAACCCAAACTCCCCTACCCACGGTCTCAAACTAGGTCACACGACTCTTTTCGAAGAAAGCAGTACAACGTGACACCTCTCTGATCTAGATCAGACTCAGAAAGTGTGTAGATAGACCTAGAAACGTGAACAGGTCCCATAAAGAAAATTTATGTTTTTCAAGTAACTACTACTCACAATCTCTTTATAAACATCCCAGTCTGCATCATTTTGTCCAAAGTTGTCACCTTTCTTCGATGGTTCTATAAATGAGAAAAGTGTAGGTACAGTATTATAAATATAATTCTGTAAAAATAATTAGAAAAAAAATGTAACAATGCCTATGTAACATAACATTTGACCCATTAGGGTCGTGGGAGCGTATCGATCGAAGCATTAGCACATAAAACCCGCTATCTTTGTCTTCCGCTTGCTAAACAAGTGTATAGTAATTTAGTCCTCTCTATTTATGATGATGTTATTCCAGGTTCTTCTTTGCTTCTCTCTTCTTCGACAACCCCCCACAATTCCTTGAAGTATAGCCTTTGCAATCGAATTATATCTCATCACACTGCCTGAACCAAGCTAGCTTGCAACATTTTACCACTGCCAGAAGAGACCCCTAATATCCTGCAAGATTATTTATTTTGTCCCTTACATATTTGTTACTTTTATGTTATAAATATCTAAACCTGCCTCTGTGCAAGCAACTAGATGCAAGTATTGTAATTATAGGTTAAAGTCGAGAGAATCAACTTCATTGTACCAGGTTTTATCCCATATGGCTTGGTCTCTCTCCACAGAACGGTTAGCCACCTGCGGAGAGTCCCATACACAGAGCACAAACTCAGTAGCTCCAGTGATGATCCCCAGGGATCTACGTAAAATCCGCACTCATGCAGATTGAAGGACGCAGCCATGAAATGAACCCACTACCTTCAGAGTGCAAGGCAAATGGCTTGACCACTTTGCCAAAGATCCCCGTGATTATAGGTAGTTTCAGTAGCAGAAGGAGGCAATGTACATGTCCTCGGCCATGTCAAGAGAGAAAACTGGAGTACATTGTGACAGTGGGAAAGCTGAAGAGGGAAAGATACAGAAGGAGAACTAAAAGATATGTGCTGGATAGTTTGACATCAGGGCATGGGAGATGATCTGTGTCAGAAATGACTGAAGTATACGAGACCGAAGTTTGTGTACAGACATGACCACCAGCGCTATACAATATGGACTATAAGAAGAAGACAGGAAAGAGACGGTTGTGGATAGACATGACTACTAATGCCACATTGGGTAATGATCCAAGTTTTAAGTTTACAGCATGATGATAAACTCTACTTAGAATAAGAGGTAAAGCATTTTAAACACATTTTTCTCAGTAACATATCCTGCCGGGCCATTATATGTCAGATGGTGCTCACAATCTATTAATTCCTTCTGTTCTATTCTGTGCGATCAGCTACATATCACGGATGGAATCCAGTCCAGCAGCTTTGGCCTCTTTCTTCAATGTTCACTTCAGGGTTTCGTTTAGGGTGTCCTCACCCCTCAATTTCTTTATTTCCCATCTTAGTGCCTGTCAAGGCAATTAACAGCTTTTTCATTGGTGAGCATGTTTTCTATCTTGCAAAAAAAGTTACTTTTGCTATGGCAATCCCTGTTTTAGATCTGTCTCTGTGCATAAGAAAAATCAAGTCTGCTAACAACCTACAACAAACATAATCATATACGAGCAGCAAACATAATCACACACGAGCAACATAATCACATACGAGCAGCAAACATAATCACATACGAGCAGCAAACATAATCACATATGAGCAGCGCACATAATCACATACGAGCAGTACACATAATCACATACGAGCAGCAAACATAATCACATACGAGCAGTACACATAATCACATACGAGCAGCAAACACAATCACATACGAGCAGCACACATAATCACATATGAGCAGCAAACACAATCACATACGAGCAGCACACACAATCACATACGAGCAGTACACATAATCACATACGAGCAGTACACATAATCACATACGAGCAGCAAACACAATCACATACGAGCAGCAAACACAATCACATACGAGCAGCAAACACAATCACATACGAGCAGCAAACACAATCACATACGAGCAGCAAACATAATCACAAGTGAGCAGCACACATAATCACATACGAGCAGCACACATAATCACATACGAGCAGTACACATAATCACATACGAGCAGCAAACACAATCACATACGAGCAGCAAACACAATCACATACGAGCAGCAAACACAATCACATACGAGCAGCAAACACAATCACATACGAGCAGCAAACACAATCACATATGAGCAGCAAACACAATCACATACGAGCAGCAAACACAATCACATACGAGCAGCAAACATAATCACAAGTGAGCAGCACACATAATCACATATGAGCAGCACACATAATCACACACGAGCAGCACACACAATCACATACGAGCAGCAAACACAATCACATACGAGCAGCAAACACAATCACATACGAGCAGCAAACACAATCACATATGAGCAGCAAACACAATCACATACGAGCAGCAAACACAATCACATACGAGCAGCAAACATAATCACAAGTGAGCAGCACACATAATCACATACGAGCAGCACACATAATCACACACGAGCAGCACACATAATCACACACGAGCAGCAAACATAATCACATACGAGCAGCACACATAATCACATACGAGCAGCACACATAATCACATACGAGCAGCACACATAATCACACACGAGCAGCACACATAATCACACACGAGCAGCACACATAATCACACACGAGCAGCACACATAATCACATATGAGCAGCACACATAATCACATATGAGCAGCACACATAATCACATACGAGCAGCACACATAATCACATACGAGCAGCACACATAATCACATACGAGCAGCAAACATAATCACATACGAGCAGCACACATAATCACATACAAGCAGCACACATAATCACATACGAGCAGCACACATAATCACATACGAGCAGCACACATAATCACAAGTGAGCAGCACACATAATCACATACGAGCAGCACACATAATCACACACAAGCAGCACACATAATCACACACGAGCAGCACACATAATCACACACGAGCAGCAAACATGATCACATACGAGCAGCACACATAATCACACACGAGCAGCACACATAATCACATACGAACAGCACACATAATCACATACGAGCAGCACACATAATCACACACGAGCAGCACACATAACCACATACGAGCAGCAAACATAATCACATATGAGCAGCACACATAATCACATACGAGCAGCAAACATAATCACATACGAGCAGCAAACATAATCACATATGAGCAGCAAACATAATCACATACGAGCAGCCAGCTGGGAGATGATGCGCATTCTCTGCTGCGAGGCAAAGGTTCTTCTCTTGGCCATATCCGACTTCCTCTGCCGTCTGGTGTTACGAGCATCCAGAATTTTCTGTGAGCATCGGACAAACATGAATGCTAGCTAAATATTTTTTATACAAGAACTGTAAACAATTAACAATGCTTTTTGTCTGTGAATAACATAACAAATCTAATTATTATAATACCTATTATATATTATTATTATGTTATCATTATGTAGCAGATCATTTGCAGAACGTTCCTCCCAATCAGCTCGCCTGAAAGAAACTCAGTCTCTCACAAACTCTCCCACCTCATGCTCTTTCCTACACAAGGCATCACTTATATCCTGTGCCCATCTTCACTCTAGTGTGCCCCTGCCCTGCTTTCCTGGTACCATGCCTTTGGCTATTATTTTTTTCAGTCCGCTGTGACGCTTGATGTGGCCACAATTTTTCAGTTTCCAAGAAAAGATGCTGTTTACTAGCCAATCTTACTTGATATTCAGATCTTTTGAGGTGTCAGTATTTCTTTTCTTCTTGGTCCATGGTATTCTCAGAATCTGTAAATTGCATTTCAGTTCAAAAGCCCAGATTTTCTCCCTTAATCTTCTTCCTCTTCTTCTTCTTCGCTTTACCTGCTGTAAAGCAAGACTCTATCATTAAGTCTTGTTCCATATCCTGAGCGATGCATGCACATCCGCTTTACATATCCAACTTATTTGTTTGCGTACTTGATTCCTTGCAACTCAGGCAGATGTACTCGACTTCGAAGGAAGCCCCCAAATAGTTGACTCGTGTGAGATGCTTGTTGGGGAGCCACTGCCACAGGTAGACCAAAAAACATGAAGAAAGGAGCTAGACTGAGCTTAAAAAGATTGGAGGACCTGGAATGAGCTGCATGCGACAGAAGGGATAGGATCACTTGGTGTCAGTTGGCCAAGAGCCTATGTCCCAGGAGAAAGGAAGCGTCTTTTATTTAAATATCTTTCTCACTGATTGTAGTGTAATTTATTCCATATAGCAGTATTCACTGGACATTAGAATGAAAGAATTTAGGTTTGGTTCTATGTTTAGGTTTAGACAATGGATCAACATCGTGGCACAAGGGTAGTATCCTATAAGTGCTCAGTTCTACTTCTGACTCAAGCCTGAGTCAAAAGATTCTCAGCGCAGTGCACGAACTCCATAGCACCGGCGAGGATCCTAAAATAATTTTGGTAGATTTTAAACTCAAAAGGTTGCCAGGGCAGTGCCTTTAGGCTTTTCTTTTTCGATTTCAACTGCCAAGGGGTTTTTTAACGAGCGCAACAATATACACCGGTGTCCGATCTTACTACCCAGAAATCAGGGGAAATTACTAGAAGTCTACGTGAAAAAATCCCAGCCTTCACCGGGGCCTGAACCTGGGAACTCCAGAACTCAAGGCGGAAGCCATGCCTCGAGACCAGACAGCTCCGAGTTCTATGTTTAATTTCCTATAACTTCAACAAATGTCTATGTGCAATGAGAGCTCATCTTCACTTTTATTCTGTTGATTAATGATTTCTCAATTCTGTGCCGATTCTGATCCAATAATTATGTTGTCTAGTTCTAATGTGGGAAGTGGATGGCGAGATTTTCAGTCTATGGTAAACAAATACCAAATCAGAAGTGTGAGTGTGTATGTGCGTGTGTACTTGTGTGTGTGTTTGCACGCAAAAACTATTCTTACCTGGCGCTTGGTGCGAATTTCAGCCAACCAGCCATTAAAGTCAATCTTCCGTCGTTCCTCTAATTTCTTCTCTTCCTCCCACTCCTGAAGCAAAAAAAAGATATCACAATGTCATGGTGACAGATTATATGGTATATACAGATATATTACATAAAAAAGGTACCACAATGCTACTGTGATAGATTTTTCTGGGTAAAATAAAATTACACAAAACGATATCACAACATTATTGTAATGGATTTCTCTGGATTTATAACAAACAAAAGATATCACAACATTTTTGTGGCAGATTTTGCTAGGTATATTGCACAAAATTAAAACCACAATGTTCTTGAGACAGATTTTGCTGCGTATATTACACACACAAAAGATACAACAAAGTTATTGCAGAAAGATTTTGCTGGCACATGCAGGATATTCATACAGTCTTAAAAAAACTGATAGTGCAGCAGTCTGCTTTCGTCTTCTTTTCATTTTCATATGAGAAAAAGCCAAAAGGCTGGAATCTTTCTACTGCATGCACAGACCATGCCTGCAGCACCTGCTTGGTATTATGTAATGCCTGTCCAAATGGGAAAAGTTCTGAGTCCCAAATCTTGACTTTTTTTAAGTCTGCTGTGCGGCTGTCATAAATAAAGTCCAAAGTTTGTAGATTTATTGAAAACAGCAAGTCCTGTTACTACAAATCTTGACACTTGTGTATTCATTCATTCAGTAGCATGTCCCTCGCGGAACCTCGCAGCCATAACAACCCTCCGGAAAACCTTCCTATCCTGAGCAAGATGTCCTGCGTCTGATACACCCATCTGGAGATCATCTGCCACATCCTGCACCCATCTTCTCCTTGTGTATAGCTATGCTAAAACAGTCTCTGGTAGATCTAAATCAAAGAGCAAATGAGAAAAGGTTAACTAAGACTGCAGTGTACCTCCTCAACATCTAGGCACAAACGAAGAAAGCCTAGACTAACTGCAAAACAGATCTAAATAATAGAGTGAAAACAGAAACTTCACAAACTTCTTTTTCTTCCTGTTCACTGGCTGTAAACTCTAGTGGAAAGTTCTGGTTGTTTGTCTACCTCTGGACTTTAGTCTTCTTCCAGAACCTGAACTTGAGTGTTGCGTGCACATCCGTTTTACAGATCTAGTTTATCTGTATGGAGATTGTTGGTTCCCTCCTCTAAGGCTGATGCACTCTGCCTTCGAAGGAACCTCCCCCCCCCCCCCCCCCCCCCCAATTACTCAACTCTTATGACATGCTTGTTGGGGAGGCAGTGGGTCTAGTTTTCCCCCACAATGGGGCCCCAGAACACACATGGAGGATCACAAATAAAATAAAATGAAAATTAATGTTAAAACAAAACCTTCCCATTCTTAACAGGTCTTCATACAAACAAATTACTTAAATCAGGAATGACACAAATCCAACTAAGCTACAAGCTAAGAAGAGGAACTAAAAGAACTAGAGCTCTAAAAGGACTGAATTCTAAATGAACACAAAGAAAAGGAACTGAAAGAAATATAGTTCTAACAATACCAAGCATTAAGGATGAGTTAAAGGAACTACAATAAGTCAGAACTAAAGACTATAAATGATGAGAATCTGACTACACTATTATTTTTCCTGTAAGTTCTTCCTACCTTCTGCCTCTTCTCCCTCTGAAGAGCTAGGGCTTTCTTCCTTCCTTCGCTGGCACTCTTGAGAATTTTCTGTCGTTTCTTGATTACCAGCTGGTCAGGGGTCAACATCTCATCGGGAATGTCCAACAGTGGAAACGACTGTTCCTTACTCTGATGAAATAATGGTGGAAACAATTATTCTCTGTTCTAATGAAATAATAGTGGAAACATTATTACCTGTTCTAATGAAATTATGGTGGAAACAATTATTCCCTGCTCTATTGAAACAATGGTGGGGGAAAGCCCTGATCTACTGTAATGTTGGAAACGATTATTGTCTGCTCTAATGAAATAACTGTGGAATAGTTCCTTGACCTACTACGAGGTGTGATGTTTTTTAAGTAAGTCCCGGTGTAAAATTAAAGAAAAACCATCTATATATATATATATATATATATATATATATATATATATATATATATATATATATATATATATATATATATATAAATCAATGTTTATTTGTTTGTCACCTATGGATTCAGAAACTACTGAACCGATTTAGCTGAAATTTTCAGGATATGTTTGTTTTGATACCGGGATGCTATCTGTCATGGTTTGAAACAGGTGGCGATATTTGTTGGGAAACATTTTCGGAACTAATATTTTCATTTTAGTGACAATTAATTAAAGCCACGTTCGTAAATGCACAAGCGCAGTGGTTGGGACGCACGATTCTGCATAGGCAATGATTGCGACATTAACCATATTAGACAGGATTTCTATATTCTTTCTTTTCAAACAACCTTCGATTAGTCAGAGAGTAGTTGGTGGATATGAGGAAAGGTGAGCCGGCGTCACTGAAGACTATCTCTATGTCTGCGCAGACAATTACTGTGACACTTACCATGTTAGACACGTGCGATTTCTATTGTTTTGCCATTTCATTAATACTTGAAGTTATTTCTGGGATATCTGTCTATGAGAAAACAATTGCCTTCGGTTTTGAGATGTGTTAGAATCACACATCTCAAAAAGTTTTTTTTTGTTTTCGTTGCATTTCTCGGAGGAGAGGTTAGTTGGCTGAACGGTTAGAATGCTGGGCTTCCGTGCGGGAGACTAGGGTTCGAATCCCCAGTGTGACATTTGATTTTTTTTTTATCTTGGGAGCAAACTAAAAATCCTCACCTGCACAGTCGTGGCGACAGCACTAGCCATGCGGCCCTAAATACTAAAAAAAGTGCAGGTGTGAGGATAAACCAGTTGACCATTAAATTTGACCATTTAGCATACTATGATTTCATTTCAAAGTTTCTGATTGCATGGTTACGCTGAATTTTCATAGATTTCCATTTATTTTTATTTTTATTTAATTATTTTGTCTGACATTGCGTTGGAATTAAGCTGTGTCGCTTATCATAGTGTTCATTTCGTAATTATCGTGTATATTATTTGTTTTCGTTGCTTTTCACTTAGTTTTTTTTTTTTAAACTACTTCGATGAGGGAAATACAAAGTGAATTGGGGGTGGGGCGGGTGGTGTGTCAAACTGTTAACTGAGAGAGCTTTAGGTCACAGTAACTGCCTTGCCCCCTCATAGTAGCATCAGTAGTAGTAGTTGTGGTTAGCTGGTTACACCGTAGGGCTGTTATGTGGGAGACCCGGGTTTACCCGCCGGTAAGGTGATTGAGTTTTTCTGTTGTGGGGGCAAAATTATACACCCTAACCTGATCAGTACGTGGCGACAGCGCTAGCAATGCGGTACCAAATCCTATGGCTCTCGGCCCCCTGTCTACTCTGATGGTAAAAGCAGTAGCAGTATTAGTACTTGAAGGATGGTGTGGTAAATATTACACTGGCCGCATTTACTTCTCAATACAATTGCTGCTCCACATTTTAGTCGAATGGACAGGGATGTCAAGATCAGTTATAAAAAATATCGTCAGGTGATGATTTTCAAATCCTTTGGAGAGGAAGAAAGCAGTCGTCAGTGGAGGAAAGGGAGAGGGTAATGACAGAAATTGTTAACTCACAGAGCTTATCACATAATTTTAAAGTTTTCATCTCTTAATTTGTTTTATCTTACTAAAGCTACCTCAGCTGTTATCATTTAAAAATTTTTTTTCCTTTTTTTTTCTTTGCAAGTAAAGTAGTAAGCTTTACTTCCGTCTCTTAAAAAATACAAACAGCTTTAGCATGTGATAACCAAACAACCATTTTTCTAAGTCCTAATAATACAATTTAAACAGCCACTATAGTTACACAATTATATGTTGAGTGTTCTAGAGTCCGCAAACCAGACTATCTCTATATCTGCACAGGCAATGATTGTGACATTACCCATATTAGACACGTGAGATTTCTATTTTCTTTCTTTTAAAAACACCTTCGATGAGTTAGAGAGTGATTGTGTATTTCAGGTGGGACAATATGCAAAAAGCAGGCATCAGGCATGTCTTTCCCTGTCTGCTCCCAATACTCTGGTGACCAGGATGGGGAAGGGGCGTGGGTGGGACGTGGGGGGTCAATAATAACAGACATGTGAATAAGGGGTAAAAGAGCATGGGGTAGTTCCATGCAAGCAAGCCAGCAGTCGGGGTTGGCTAGCTCTTCCTTGGAGGGGTGAAAAAAGAAGTAGCCAGACAGGACCCTAAACTAACTCCACCTCCAAATGGTGCACACAACATGGTTTCAGACCAGTGGGGCTTTTGCGCGCCAGGTGGGTGGCATTCATGTGGTTACATACTCCCTTAAACTGCAACAGGCCCAGCAAGCTGGCAGTGGATTAAATCTTGCTCAAAATAATGCAGAGAAATTGGACTGAGAACCTAAATACCAATATCTATATAGCACAAACCAAGACGAGCACTAAGGCCTCATCAAAACTAGATGCCGAAAGGCAGAACAGAACTAGAGATGAAGAAGAAGAGTTCCCAAGTAACAAGACTCAAACCTCAGCCTCCATCAGTGCTGGTTCCTGGCCTAGCAACTTTGCTTTAGCTCTCTGAATGCTGGCTGTCAGCCTGTCCACAGACTCCTGAAGATCCTCCACTCTGGTGAGGCCCACTTCAGCTAGAGCAGACTGCAAAAGGAAAACAGTAAACTTTCAGCAAAGATCAAACAAGCAAAACAGTGTACACAGGAAATCTTCTTACTTTTCAAGGTAACCAGTTATAAAATATGGCAGAAAGTTCTGGCTGTTCGCCCAGTTCTGGACTTAGCTCTTGTTCCATGACCTGAGTTTTGCATGCACATGTTTTACAGATTGGACTTATTTGTGTGCAGACGCCTCTCAGATAGAAGTGCTCCACTCTGAAGGAAACATCAATCACATACTGTTTGGCTAATCAGGCAGTTAACTGCAACTGGTGACCCAACAAAATGCAGTGTTATGTATGGAACGATGGTGTTGATGATGATGATGTTGCAGAAAATGTGAAAAGTTCTTTACAGGCGAAGATAATATGATAAAAGAAAGATGGCAAATGGATTAAATAGTGTAGATGATAAAAGAAAATTTAAAAAAAAAACGAATATTTTTTAATTACAATTTTATGCACTTATTTTACAATATTCATACCGCTAAAATGTTATCAACCCCCAATTTTCTGCATTTCTCTGACAATATTCATACCACTAAAACGTATCATCCCACAATATCTCTCCATTTTTCTGACCAATATTTATAACATGAAAACGCTATCAGGCCACAATTCTTCTCCATTTCTCTGACAATATTTATACCATGAAAACCCTATCATCCACAACTTCTCTCCATTTCTCTGACAATATTCATACCATGAAAACCCTATCATCCACAACTTCTCTCCATTTCTCTGACAATATTTATACCATGAAAACCCTATCATCCACAACTTCTCTCCATTTCTCTGACAATATTTATACCATGAAAACCCTATCATCCACAACTTCTTTCCATTTCTCTGACAATATTCATACCATGAAAACCCTATCATCCACAACTTCTCTCCATTTCTCTAACAATATTTATAACTCAAAAAAGCACTAATCCCACAATATCTCTCCATTTCTCTGACAATATTCATACCACAAAAACGTCCCCATCCAACAATTTCTCTCCACCCCTTGTACACTATTCATACCGCTAAAGTGTCATTCATCCCACAACCTCTCTCCACCCCTTGTACACTATTGTCATTCATCCCACAACCTCTCTCCACCCCTTGTACACTATTCCTACCGCTAAAGTGTCATTCATCCAACAATTTCTCTCCACCCCTTGTACACTATTCATACCGCTAAAGTGTCATTCATCCAACAATTTCTCTCCACCCCTTGTACACTATTCATACCGCTAAAGTGTCATTCATCCAACAATTTCTCTCCACCCCTTGTACACTATTCATACCGCTAAAGTGTCATTCATCCAACAATTTCTCTCCACCCCTTGTACACTATTCCTACCGCTAAAGTGTCATTCATCCAACAATTTCTCTCCACCCCCTTGTACACTATTCCTACCGCTAAAGTGTCATTCATCCAACAACCTCTCTCCACCCCTTGTACACTATTCCTACCGCTAAAGTGTCATTCATCCAACAATTTCTCTCCACCCCTTGTACACTATTCCTACCGCTAAAGTGTCATTCATCCAACAATTTCTCTCCACCCCTTGTACACTATTCCTACCGCTAAAGTGTCATTCATCCAACAACCTCTCTCCACCCCTTGTACACTATTCCTACCGCTAAAGTGTCATTCATCCAACAATTTCTCTCCACCCCTTGTACACTATTCATACCGCTAAAGTGTCATTCATCCAACAATTTCTCTCCACCCCTTGTACACTATTCCTACCGCTAAAGTGTCATTCATCCAACAATTTCTCTCCACCCCTTGTACACTATTCCTACCGCTAAAGTGTCATTCATCCAACAATTTCTCTCCACCCCTTGTACACTATTTATACCGCTAAAGTGTCATTCATCCAACAACCTCTCTCCACCCCTTGTACACTATTCATACCGCTAAAGTGTCATTCATCCAACAATTTCTCTCCACCCCTTGTACACTATTCATACCGCTAAAGTGTCATCATCCCACAACCTCTCTCCACCCCTTGTACACTATTCATACCGCTAAAGTGTCATTCATCCAACAACCTCTCTCCACCCCTCTCACTATTCCCTAAAGTGTCACACAACCTTCATCCACCCCTTGTACTAAACCGCTAAAGTGTCATTCATCCAACAACCTCTCTCCACCCCTTGTACACTATTCATACCGCTAAAGTGTCATCATCCAACAACCTCTCTCCACCCCTTGTACACTATTCATACCGCTAAAGTGTCATTCTCCATCCAACATTCCGCGCTATACCGCTAAAGTGTCATTCATCCAACCACCTCTCCACCCCTTGTACACTATTCATACCGCTAAAGTGTCATTCATCCAACAACCTCTCTCCACCCCTTGTACACTATTCCCGCTAAAGTGTCTTGTCCAACAATATTCTCTACACCCCTTGTACACTATTCATACCGCTAAAGTGTCATCATCCAACAATTTCTCTCCACCCCTTGTACACTATTCATACCGCTAAAGTGTCATTCATCCAACAATTTCTCTCCACCCCTTGTACACTATTCATACCGCTAAAGTGTCATCATCCCACAACCTCTCTCCACCCCTTGTACACTATTCATACCGCTAAAGTGTCATCATCCAACAACCTCTCTCCACCCCTTGTACACTATTCATACCGCTAAAGTGTCATTCATCCAACAATTTCTCTCCACCCCTTGTACACTATTCATACCGCTAAAGTGTCATCATCCAACAACCTCTCTCCACCCCTTGTACACTATTCATACCGCTAAAGTGTCATCATCCAACAACCTCTCTCCACCCCTTGTACACTATTCATACCGCTAAAGTGTCATTCATCCAACAACCTCTCTCCACCCCTTGTACACTATTCCTACCGCTAAAGTGTCATCATCTCCAGTCAGCATCAGCTCCTGAACCTCTAACAGTTTCTGCAACTCTGCCTCGTCTGCCTGAAGCTGACAACAACAACAACCAAAAACAGTTTTACGCTGGATGAGACAAGAAACACCAAAACAATCACATAACAGTCTGACAATGTGTGACGTCGCCTCAAAAAAATCTTCTTCTTCTTCTCTTTGTTCATCTGAGTGACGTAACTGCACTGTGTCTGTTTACAGCAAAGCTGCAATATTTTGGCCGACACATCTGAGATCATCAAGGATTTGTTTACCGGGCTCCTACCTACAGGTGTTGCCCCTGGTGACCAATCCATGACAACCACATGTAGACTGGTCAGTGGTGATGCCCCCCCCCCCCCCAGTGACCCATTCATGACAACCACATGTAGACTGGTCAGTGGTGTTGCCCCCCACCCCCCCCCCCCCTCAGTGACCCATCCATGACAACCACAGGTAGACTGGTCAGCGGTGTTGCCCCCGGCGACCCATCCATGACAACCACATGTAGACTGGTCAGTGGTGTTGCCCCTAGTGACCCATCCATGACAACCACAGGTAGACTGGTAAGCGGTGTTGTCCCCAGTGACCCATCCATGACAACCACAGGTAGACTGGTCAGCGGTGTTGCCCCCCAATGACCCATCCATGACAACCACAGGTAGACTGGTCAGCGGTGTTGCACCCAGTGACCCATCCATGACAACCACAGGTAGACTGGTCAGTGGTGTTGTCCCCAGCAACCCATCCATGACAACCACAGGTAGACTGGTCAGCGGTGTTGCCCCCCCCCCCCCCCAATGACCCATCCATGACAACCACAGGTAGACTGGTCAGTGGTGTTGTCCCCAGTGACCTATCCATGATAATCACATGTAGACTAGTTGGCTTTCAAGGGAAGGCAGAGGCAGACCACAGTAAGTCTAATGTCTGCTCTTACCACACAAGAAGGCAAGGACGACCAACACAATCATGTAACAGACAAACTGAGAGTTGTACCAGTGAAGTCAACGGACGGCTCCTTGTTTCGTGTTGGGTTTACTAAGCATTTAAATAGATGGTCTCAAACCTTTTTCATGTGTCCCCTTGTTATATGGTAAGACACCCCCCCCCCCCCTCCCCAAACACACACACAATAAAATGAGCTCCAAAAGAGGAGGAATGTGTTCTTAATCTATAATTAAATGCAGATGTTATCACATTGATTAGATTTTTAACAGCAGATGCACAAACTGCTCATGGAAACAAAAACATCCTTAGCTTTTTATTTTATAAAAAAAAATTTTAAAAATATTTTATTTATAATTACATTTTTTTTTAAATGTTAGTATATGGTTTATACAACTGATCAACATCATGGCACAAGGATAGTAATCCATAAGTGCTCCGTTCTACTTCTAACTCAAGCCTGAGACTGAAGAACCACAGTGCAGTGCACGAACTCTGTTACACCGGCGAGGATCCTGAAATACTTTAGGTAGATTTTTAACTCCAAGTTTTGTCCGGGCAGCGCCGTTAGGCTACTCTTTTCGATTTCCAACTGCCAAGGTTTTTTTTTTTATATGCACAACAATACACACGGGCGTCCAATCTTACTACCCAGAGACCAGGGGAAATTACTGGAAGTCTAGGTGAAAGAATCCCAGCCTTTACCAGGGTCTGAACCCGGGACCTCCAGCACTCGAGGCATGCCTCGAGACCACTCAGCCCCCCCAAATTGAGTACAATGTATTACTACAAGTACAAATGCAGCCATTTTTAAAACTGACTGACCCTCACCCCCCCCCCCCCCCCCTCTTTTTCCCCCCAGGTTGGAGACCACCGATCTAAATCAATCTGTGAAATGTAAACTTTAGGATTATCACTCCTCATTCCCTGCTTCTTTTGCCGCAAGGAACTTCAAATGTGTGGCTATCCTGGTATGAATCAAATGTAGCATAGCACTAATAATTTGCTTTGTAAATTCGCTTCCGCAGGCCAGATTTCTATTCTCTGTCTGCTAAAATCTTATTTGGTCTCATTTTTATCCAAGTTGCAAAATGTTTGAATTAAACATTCATGAGTACCTTTTACTCATGACAGAAGGAACCAAATTTTCATTTCAGGATGAATAAGGTAGGACACATCAAACAAATCATCTCCTTGTGGGCACCAGGGCACCATTCTCGGGGAGGGGGGGGGGGGAGGGGAAGAACAGACCCACTGTTCCCTCTAATAAGCATGTTTAGTTAGCGACTAATTAAGAGTTTCTTTCAAAGATGGAGCGGCTCTATAAGAGAGGTGAGGAAATAACAGTCTTCATACAAATAAGTCATATCTGTAAAACAGAAGTACATGCAAAATTTAAGTTCAAGACCAGACAAGGTTCAGACGGGCAACCAGAACCTTACGCCAGAGTTTACAGCTGGTGAATGCTAAAAAGACGAAGAAGCCGCAGAAACAAATGACACCTGCAGTGATGTATAACAACACACAAACCTTATCCATCCTCCGCCTTGTGTTGACTTCCAGCAGTCGGGAGATCTGCTGTTTCCGCCGTTCTTTCTGCTGCTCAGACGATACCTGACTGCCTTGGACCTGACAAGAACACAAATTAATAGACAGCTGTGAGTAATGAGCTAAGAATTGGCAACATAGCACTCAGAACATTCCCATAAGCACTCTGTCCCAATCTTCAGCGACAAGCGCAGAATTGCAATTCCAATGGTACCAGTAACAGGCTGGTTGCTGAGCATTGGCCAGATATCCTCGTCACTCCTCCCTGCACCATTCTATACAGGCCAGTAGAATGATAGACAGCATAAACAGATAAGCTATTTAACCCTCCAAAAGTGGATAATTCAACATTACTTGTCAAGGGTCTCAAAACTCCCAGCAGAAAGTCTTCTTACCTTAGATACCTTACTAGAAATTTAACATTACTAGTCATGAGTCCCAAAACTCCCAGCCAAAGTAGTTTGTTTCTTCTTTTCCTTCCTCTGTGCTCAGCCTTAAAGAACCAGCTGGCATGTTGTGGTTTATAGCTGTGAAATCTGCACCTTTCAAACATGTTTAGTTGCCTTTCAACACATGAACTTTAAGGAGCATTGTTTCCCCAAAACTGGGCCTCAGAACCCACCCAGGAAAGCAGTCGATTACCTACATCTTACTATAAAATAAGTTGAGCGTCATTTGACCTGTGTGGTTTCCGGGGCCTCATTGTGGGGTAATAAGAATTGACCAATCTCTATAACAGGGAGTCGCCGTGGTGTAGTGGCTAGACCCTTGCCTGCCAATCTGAAGGTCGTGGATTCGGGTCCTGACGGAGCCAGACTTTTTTTTCTTTCAAAAATGACATTGGCTCCCAAGTTGACCCAGCCCTGAGTGGGTACTAGGTGTAGTCCTGGGAAGTAAAGGCGGTGGGCATGATGTTGACCACATCAGCCTACCAGTGCCGATTGGTCTTACAAATACAATTAGCCCTATATGCCCAACTTGCCTAAAGGTGTGGAAAAGGGTCCTGTACTTTTACCTCCATAACAAACATGTCATAAAGGTCAACTAATGAGAGGTGTTCCTTCAAAGTCGGAGAGTGCGCCAGCCTGAGAGGCGAAGAACCATGGCTACACACAAATAAACCAGATCTGTAAAACAGATCGGCTCTCCTCCTAACTTCTACCCCAAGCATTATGGCAGCCAAACAAATATCCTAACAGGGCCTCAGTCCTATGAAAAATGCGGACTTCTCGGACTTTCTGCCGAGCGGCAAAACTAGGATCAGTTCCGTATAGCGAAACAAATGCTCTAACAAGGTCTCAGCAATATGTTAATTGTGGACCTGTTTCTGTGACTATGCCTCACGGCCGACCGTATCGATGGGGGCTAAAGTCTGCATATTTTTAATAGGACTGAGACCCTGTTAGGATATTTGTTTGGCCGCCATAATGCCGGGGTAGAAGTTTGGAGGAGAGCCAACAGATCTGAAGGCAAAACTCAGGTTCTGGAACCAGGCTAAAATGCACAAACGAATAAACAACCAGAACTTTTCATTGGAGTTTTCAGCTGGTAAACATAAAGGAAGAGGGCATCTGTACAGTTCAGCAACAATAGTGTAGATTTACCTGAGTCACAGGTAGCTGCATCTTTCTCACATTTGCCTCAAAATATTCATGATCGTCCCAGCGTGCCAGGTCGGTCAGGAAGTCTGGGGCAATGTAACAGTGATCCCTGATCATCTCCTGTAGGGATTTGGGAAAATAAAAACTGCATCATTATGTTTTACCAATAGAATATAAAGCAGGGCTAAGAACGAACGAACAAACAAAACCTCATTTTTAAAGATTAAAAACTGGGCCTTCTAACCACAGTGACTGTAATAAATGTAGGGGACATATACGCTATTGCTGATATGCTTCTATCTTTTAAGGGGGTAGGTAATCTGTGCTCAAACAATATTTGAACAGTTTTCGACTAGAGGTACAGGAGATAAAAAGAGCTGTGAAGAGAAGGATGTAATAAGAAAATATTATGGAAGAACAGGGAAAAAAGGAGGAAGAAACAGTAATGATAATGTTAATAATCACAAGCCTGGAAACAAAGGGCCAGGAAGAGATGATGAGAGGAGACAGAGTGGGGAGAACAAGAGTATGGAGAGAGGGCAGACACCAGGAAGACAATGTTACATGCGGGCAGACACCAAGACAAGGCTGTATGAATTAGGTATGTCGGCATGCATTCACAGCTGAAGATCCAGTCAAGAGTCCTTATGGAATGGACAATAGACTTATTAAATCACATAAGAAACAGTGTAAGTGTAGTGTGCAATCTGCCAAAGGGAAAGGTACTGCATAAATGGCAAAAGTACCCAAGGGATTATACATCAATTATTCACACAAGAGTTCCTTCAGATGGAAATGACTGCTGGGTTTCTACCAGCGAGCACTAGCCTCTGTCAGCGCACTCATACATATTCATGTGCCCTCACACTCCCTCTGACCTCTGGCATACTTTATTGAGTTAGCAGACAACAGTAACTCACCTCCACTCTACTCATTGTTACAGCATGAGCATGACCAGGGTACTTGAGCTGTAAAAGCCTCTGAAGGTACCAGTCTATGTATCCACCCCCGATGTTCATTCGCCGACAGTGAGCTGAATCAATCCTTCCTCCGACCACAGGGATCACGTGAGTTGCCTGGTAGCCACAGTCTAGAATCAAGGCATCTGCTGTCTCTGCGGCAAATTACACGGATGCACAATTCAGTCGACACCAGCTCACAACAAGGAAGTATATCTTCTTCTTCGCGTTCACCAGCTGTACACTCTGGCGAAAAGTTCTGGTTGCTCGTCCACTACTGAACTGCAGTCCTGCTCCAGAACCTGAGTGTTACGTGTGCATCAGTTTTACAGATCTCATTTTCTTGAATACAGACTGTTGTGTTCCTTGCCTCTCCGGCAAATGCACTCCGACTTCAAAGGAAGCTCCCCAATTAGTTGACTCTTACGACATGCTTTTGGGGAGGCAGAGGGTCTATTCTTGTTTTCCCCACAATGGGGCCCCAGAACCCACACGGGGGGTGGAAGTATATCAACTTGTAAAGCTGGATAGAACTCTACGACAAATTGATTTTTCTTTCTTGTGTGGGTTCCAGGACCCCACTGTGGGGAAAACAAGAACAGACCCAGCCTACCCAGAAGCAAGAGTCGACTAATAGGGAGCTTCCTTTGAAGTTGGAGTGCCTCTGCCTGGAAAGGAACCAACAGTCTGCACACAACTGAGTCAGATAAGTGAAACCAATGTGCACACAACACTCAGGTTCTAGAACAGGACTAGAGCCCAGAAGGTGGCAAAAAACCAGAACTTTCCGCCAGAATTTACGGCTGTTGAACGCGAAGCAGAAGAAGAAGAATTATCTTATAAAAGGGCAAAAGCTATCAAACCTGCAAAAGTCATTACTGCATGTATGTACAGTTTTATGGGGTGGTTACGGACTGGTGAGGTTTTAAGTCCCTAGGATTTAGGGCTGCATGGCTTGTGTAGTCGCCACAGACAGCAGGTGAGAATGGTCAAACCTACTTTCAGGAACAAAATGGTCAAAAAAATGAGATTCCAAGGGAGCAATTATATCCTTATCGTTTTCTTCTTCTCCTCCAGTCGCCAGACACAAACTCCGGCGGATAATTCTGGCTGGTCATCCGTGTCCTAGGGTTTGACAGTTGTTGTGTTCACATCCGCTTTGCAGATCTGGCTAACTAAAAGTAGACTACTGGTTCCTAGTCTCTCAGACAGATGCTCTCTGACTATGAAGAACACCATTATTACCATCACCTTTCAAGGCAATATTATGTCATTATTGTTTATTAAATTGTTGGTCTGTGAGCAGGAAATATTATCTACATCATCAGTTCGAGCTTTCTTCTTCTTAGCGTTCACAAAGTTGTCAGCTCCAGTGAACAATTCTATTTCTCACCCACTTCCACAGCTTTAGTTTTCCGTGCAAATCCATTTGTTTGTTTGTTTTAGTATCCAGAAGCCATGAGTTGTTAACCCTTAGGCTCGGTATTATGGATATCGCAACCTTTCGGCCTTGATTCCATTGTAAATACCGTAAATCTGGGAGAAAATGTGGCTTTCCTGCCTACCCCCGGGATTGAACCCGGACCACAAGGAGTACGTCACCCGGTCTCCGCGAAATCCGGTTTAGCCAATTCTACTAGAGAGCCAGGCTGCAAATCCATTTAACAGATCTGACTTATCTGTATGCAGACTATTGGTTCCTCGCCTCTCAGACGCTGTACTCCAGTAGATGCCACCCCAGTGAGGTATACCAGGAAATGAAACCATAGATAAACTTGCTAAGAAAGGGGCAGAATGTGAACAGGAAGATAATGCAGTAATATACTTCGATAAGAAAAAAGGCCATTTAGTCTATCTGAAGTGAACCAAATCTGGTCATCGACAACTACCACTTACATGAACGGTAAGAGCAGGTGGACCTCATTATTCTACATCCCAGGACAGGACATAACAAACTTAACAAGCATATGCACAGGCTTCGTCTGAGTAGTTCACCACTGTGCTCTTGTGGGCTGTGTGTGCAGACTACAGAACATGTCCTGCAAGAATGACCCTTGTACAGCCCATTAAGATCGACACTGCACTTAAAGTTGAATGGAACTAAAACGAGACTCCTAAAATCAGTCAAGTTTATCACAAGGACTTGTCTGTCAGTATAAATCAGAAAGTGAACACAAGAAGAACAAAAACAACAACAATGCACTCTGAAGCAAAACACCAAATCAGTAACCTTTAATCATATGCCTGATAGGAAGAATAGTGGGTTTATTCTTTTCCCCCTAAAATTAGGCTTGGAACCCACATGCTTCAAGTCTGGTTTGATGGAGCTCTATGTGTGTGGCTGTCTACAATCCTGCACCACAAAAGTATTAAATATAAACAAACATAACATCAACAAGCTTCATTCCACCAAAGGTGATACAGGATTTCAGAACTATAAAACCAACAAACAAACAAAAAAGACTTTGACAGACAATGATTACCTGGCGCAGGATGGTTGTAGTACAAACTAAATAATGAATCCACACCATAAGCGACTTGGGGGACGTGGTAGCACTCAAACAGCAACTCCGTCATCACTTCAACACAAAGCAAAACACAAATGAACTGACTGCTAAATAAAAGGGATGAAGAAGACTACATAAAAACCGTTGAGAAAAACACTGAAATAATTGTTGAAATATTCTTGTGTTAAGTATTGATCAACTTCCGTTTATGTCTTTTCTAGAAGGAGCAGTTAACTGTACGGTGTCCACAGTACTTTATCTTATTTGTTCCTCAAATCTGTTTTGTAATGTGTGGAAGTATATGGGTTAAACCCTCAAATGTACTACAGAACAGCTTTACGTCAAAGCCAGTAGTGCTTAATGGACAAATATGAAGACGGTTTTCAACAGTAGGAGGCAGACAACACATTGTTGAATATTTTCCTTTAAGAATAATGACTGAGCTATAGGGGAAAAACATGAAGAAACTGTTAACCTAGGAGTAAGACCACAGATGATCAGATTTACACATCCCCCCCCCCCCCCCAACCCTAGGTAATTTTGTAGACAACCTTAGAGGATATGCATTAAAATTTGCTTTGGTGCTCCTCAGTTGCAGGTGGGTAATATCTCAAAGACTATTCAGTGAAGGTGGATGGTCTCCATGGCGAAGAGGTCCAGCTGTTTGCCTCGCGCTCTGAGGGTTGTTTCACGGACTGTGTTGTTTACTTCACAAGTGCAGTTTTTACAGAGACCCCGAGGATCATTGCTGGAGCTGCAGAGTTCATGCTTTAAGCTAAACTACTAACAACAATAAAACTGCCAATTACTGACTTTATTATACCACTTTTGCGGTGGAGGCGGGCGGAGGGGGGGTCTTTGAGCCTGAGGATTTACGGCCACATGGCTAGAGCTGTCACCACAACTGTGCAGGTGAGGAAAGCAATGCTCTCCTTCAGCAAATCAAACTGGTTCATTGCTTGTCCTCTGTAGCAACATCAGCAAGCCTATCACCTTGTTAATTTCCACTAACACTGGCAAGACCTACACAAAAATGAAACATTTTTTTCTGGAGACCAGCACGACCCATTTTCTCAATTACACTCCATGAACCTCCCAGAAACCAAGCCTGAATAAACGTCTGGGTCTCATTTTCCTGGTCAGTATCCCTACTGTAATATTTACTGGCAGCTTGACGGTTAAATGTAGAATAGCTCAAGCAAAGGCAGCATTTTACAAAATCAAGAATACTCTACACCATCTTTCTTTGTCAACTGACAGGAGACAGAGAATTCTCAAGAGCTATTTAAATTCTATCCTGATATATGAAAGTGAATCATGTAAGTTCGATAATTAGTGACACATTTGTTGAAAGCAGCACACATATAGTTTTAGAGATTAATAATGAGAATGCCCTGGACAGAAAAAAAAAGAGTAATGTAGACGTCATGAAAGAAACTGACTCATAAAAAGGACGGACCGCCTACATCTTACTTACTTACTTAGTCGCTCCTCTTCTACCTTGGGGTGTAGAGGTTTGCCAGAGAGATCGCCAGACGTCTCTATCAGCAGTTTTCTTTCTGGCTTTGTTCCATTCCAGTCCTCTGTCAGTTAGGGACTGTCGGATGTTGTCTTCCCAGCGCACCCTGGGTCGTCCCGGAGGTCTGGTTCCCTGGTCTTAGCCTCCCATGCCTGCCATGGTGGCCGATTTTCTCCCATTCTGCATACATGTCCAAACCATCGTAACTGTGACTGATCTACTCGGGTTAGTAAGGCCTGGGTATCAAGATCTTGACGTATTGTTTGATTGCGGACTTTGTCCCTTCTTGTCACTTGGACCACCTTTCTCAGGTATCTCATTTCCGAGGCCTGCAACCGCCTACATCAGAAGCAGAAAATCTGCATTTTTTTGGTCCCATTATGAGAAAGAGAAAATGAGAGAGACTGAACTAGAAGATGCTGGACAGTTTGACATCATGGCATGGAAGATCATCTCTGTCAGAACTAATTTAAAGTACACAAGACAGAAGGTTGTGGATAGACATGACTACCAACGCAACATGGCATGGACTATAATAATCCCCGTATGAGTTCTGGAGCCCCATTGTGGGGCAAATAAGAACAGGCCCACTGCCTCCCCAACAAGCATGTCGAAGGAGTCGACTTATTGTGGGCATTCTTTAAAGTCAGAGTGCATTCATGTGAGCGGCAAGGAACAACCAACTATACACAAATAAACCAGCAAATGGATGTACATACAAAACTCAGGCCCTGGCACAGAGCTAAAGTGGACGAACAACCTGGATTTTCCGCTGCAGCTTAAAGCCGGTGAACAAAGAAGAAGTAGCAGAACTAATAGAAGAAGATGTCAGACTCATGAAAGACTAAAAAATGATGAGTAAAGCTGCACAAGGATTCTCTCCAACAATGTAATTCTTTCTTCCTGCCCTTGCCTCCATCCTAGTTTAGTTTTTTTAACCTCTGCAAACACTGCAGGGCGCAAGAGCACACACAGAGAGTTACACTGAATACTCACACTGCCGTGTGTAGTTTGGATTACAGACTGCCTCAGTCAAGACGACTGGATGGTCCACGCTGCCCTCAGTTGTGATCCCCAAGTGAGAGAAAAGGTAATCAAACACCTGCTCCTTGAATATAGAAGGTAAGTAACAACAAAGAATTTCAGGTGGAAATCAATCGACATGTAAAAATACTAAAGTATTTCTTCTTCTTTGCGTTTACCAGCTCTACACTCTGACGGAAAGTTCTGGTTGTTCGTCCACTTCTGAACTGCAGTCCTGCTCCAGATCCTGAGTGTTGTATGTGCATCAGTTTTACAGATCTGATTCACTTGAATGCAGACTGTTGGTACCTTGCCTCTCAGGCAGACGCACTCCAACTTCGAAGGAAGCTCCCCCAATTAATTGACTCTTACGACATGCTTTTGGAAAGGCAGTGGGTCGATTCTTGTTTTCCCCAGAATGGGGCCCCGGAACCCACACGGGGATAAACTATCTGACTTTGGGAGTCTATCTGATCTCTGTGTTGTTAACAAGCAAATCAAGTAGATTATGTTATTCAGCTATCTTAAGACAAGATAATTCCCTTCTTCTGTTATCTTTCATTCCCCAATGGAGCATAGGCTCTCAACACACAACAAGTTCGTGTGAGTGACGTAAATGTGTTCTGCCCGTTTACGGCATAGCTGTGACATTTACGCCTTAGGGTCGACACAACTTTTTATTGGGCATTTGTTTTCAGGGTCAGCCTTCCTGGGTAGTTTCGTGAGACATCTGTAGCCTCATGTGAGGTGCATCAGCGACCGGATCACCCACTGGCTGGCCGGTAGGTGACTTCGTCGCCGGTCAGGACAGTATTAGTCTGTCTCCTTTGATCGTATCAACAAACAGTCCTTTTCAGGGCTACTTGGTGGCGAGCAATGCTAAGCCATTTTAAATGGCGCACATAACCTAGTCACAATCATAACCTAACCCCCCCCCCCTCCCCTCCCCCAGAAGGCCATATATTAAGCCTGATTTAACAACAACAAAATATATAAACACACAAAAAAACATGAGCATACCTGAACATCAAACAGAGTGACAATGTTGCGGTCAAACTGTGATCGTAGAATCCACTTCACAACTTCAATATTGGTTATGTCATTTCCAATAAGTGTTTCAATCTCCTGATATTTAAATGTAGAAACAAAAATAACATAGATTTAAAGAATGCATGGCAAGTAATTCTTCTTCCTCTGTTTTAACTCACAAAAGCGCCGCTGAAACACTTTTGTGGTTTGCGCTGGGCTGTTTTCATCTTCTTCTTAGAATCTGTCAGAAAAATGGTGCCGTCCAACTCTCCATGTGTACCATACAGCTTTGTCTTCATTGAGGTTGGAACAGGGCAGACTGCTGATGTGTTAGCAACATACAGTTGACAGTGTTAGAGGGACACATCTCTCTGTGTTTCCTACAGCGAAACAGACTGCTGATGTCTTAGCAGCATGTAGCCGACAGTGTTGGCGGGACACATCTCTGTGTTTCCTACACCGAAAAACCTGAACATATGTTGGCCAAGTCCTTTCAACCTAATACCTCCAATTTCACATTAATTAGTCACCTCTTGCGACATGCTTGTTAAATGGGTGCCAAGTCTATCCTCCCCCCCCCCCCCCCCCCGATATGGCACATCATTAAATAATTAATAAAGATTTCAAGCTGATATTTACAACAATGTATATTTTATATCAGTAGATGATTTTGGCTTAGTGGTTGTGAAAACTTTACAATCATATTAGATTAGTGTTCTTCCTCCGAAGTCAGAGTACATCTGCCGGAGAGGCGGGGAACGAGAAGTGCAAACAAATAAGCCAGTAAAACGGATGTACACGCAAAACTCAGGTCAAGGTAAAAGCCAAAAGTCCATTTTGGACGAACAACCGCGACTTACCGCCGGAATTCACAGCCGGTGAACAAGAAGAAGAAGAAGAAAGATTAGTGTTCAAAGTTGGCAGCAGGCAGTTTTTAGCAGACCACATAAGGCAGGAGAACTGGCAACAGATAACACATTTTTTCCACAAGAATGATGAGAGCAACATTCGGCAAATGACTTGCTACATGGTGAGGACCATAATTAAAAAGATGGTTTCTTCTTTTTCTGCGATCATCCGAAGAGGTAATTGTGGTGTGCCCCGTTTACAGCATGGCCGTGATATTTGCGACTTTGGGCCGGCACATCTGACTTCTGCTGGCATTTTTTTTTACTGGGTTAGCCTTCCTGGAGATGTTTATTTTATGTCAATGCAAACTTTTATTATCAAAATGAAATCATTAAACAGACAGCTTACATTCTGGTTTTTCTTCAGTCTCTGTTTAGCAGTGATATTCTTGAAGATGAGAGATGGGGACTCGCTGCAAGCCCACCCTGCCCTGCACTGGTAAGTTCCTGTAACAAATAAATTGGGTAATCAAATTGTGTGGGTAACAAGGAATAAGATCAATAACTCACTGGTAGTGAAAGTAAATCACGTAGACGCGAGATAAATTAGACAAAAGAACAACTGAAAGATATGGTGGCAACTATCCCCATCCTTCAGGATGACAGTATTACAGATTGTTTTTCACCTTTTTCACCCCATCTTGGGAGCTGCAAGATTTTATAGGGAATTCCTAGAGAGTTCCCAAGAAAGGTCTATGTGAACAGGACCGACACTCTCCACGGTCATTTACTGATGGTTTAGGGTCCGATGGAGCAATGCTGACAGGTCAAGGAAATTCACGGCCAAGGTGAAGTCACGAAGTAAAAACACCTATTCCAAACAGCTCATAGTGATGGCAACAAACGAACTAAAGTAACACACACTGGCAATGATGACGCAATCAATGATGACAACACTGAAAATAACCAACACAGGACAATTCCAGAGTATAGGAGTTCTAGTGGTTTGTGGTAGTATTAAATGAACACCGTCTAACACTGACCATAACCCCCCCCCCCCCCATAATATAGGTCTGTCCAGGAAACTCCCTAGGAAAATCTCAGAACCCCCGAGATGGGGTCAAAAGGCGGAAAATAACCCAGTACTCAACTGCGTTATAGGGAGACACAGGAATGATAGCCCATGGTGACAGCTAGAGTGACTAACAAGACCCGCTCATGTCCCTGACCATTGAAGTATGGGATTTCCGGACCACTGCTGCCATCACATGTACATCTTATTGGTTGGGGGGGCTGGCCTGCTCGAGGGTAACTGAACCAGTTATATTCAAAAACATCTCCCAGCGTCAGAGGCAGCTGACCTTCCCATCTCATGAACTATTATGCCCATGGTGTCCTTGGCATCATGTCCCCATGGCTATTCTCTCCAAACCATTATAGAGTTTGATAAGACAAAAGTATTTCAGTTCTTGAAAAATGACACTGAGCAATTCTGCCTCATTTTCCATGTCACGGAGTATGTCACATGGCAAGGTACATGACAATGATATTACCGTCACTGACTCATTCAACAAGCAAGTATATTTAAGCACTTCTTCTTCTAAATTCACCCTTAAAAGGGCGGTTGGCAGACTATGTTGTGGTTTACAGCTAGGCTGCAATATCAGCACCTTTCGGCCCAACACATCTCATTTCAACAAATTAGTCCTTTAACGACATGCTTGTTAGCAGGCAGTGGTTTTATTCTTTCTTTCTTTCAAAATGAGGCCCCGGAACCCACAGGAATGCAGTGCCCCCTCCCCCCACAACAGGGCCCTGGAACCCACATGGGGAGATATGGATCTATGTGCCCTAGTGAAGCCACATGCTAGAAGCAATATGTGGCTTCTATGGCAACTACTACCCACATATGAACATTTATGCACATAAGATATCAACCCAGGAAGATGTGAACAGACACGATCATTCAATCCCATCAGTAGTTTCTTTGAAAGCCTGAGGATTAACAGCACCAATAAATAATAATTAGACTACGAATAACAGTGGGTGATAACTCCCTTACTTGTACTTTCATTCCAAAAAACATCCAACTTACCATTATCAATGACCAAAGGAACACCGAGGTCCTGTAGTGTACTGGGATACTCATAAATGGGATCGGGTACTGGTTTCTCATCTTTGAAGCTAAAGACATTTATCTTTGTTTCTTCTTCTGTCATGGCTGTGTCTTCCCTTCTTTTGTTAGGTATTAATTATGTATCCTCACTAGATTACATACAACTTTGAGAGAACCTGTTACCTAAGACAAAGTATTTAGCTTAGTGTATATGTCTGTGAGAGGACAAACATATTATATATAAGAAATCATGGCTGTGAAGCTTATGGACCAAAGTGATAGGGAACACGGGTGTGATAAAAATATGCTGGCACTATATAAACACAAATTGCAAAAAACAAAGTAAAAGTCTAACTATAAAGTCATTTTCCTGTGTGAGGGTCTTGCTTTGAGATGTAGTTCAGTGTCAGAACAAAGAGGACAGAGAATCCAAGCAAGGATACGTGCATCGGAGAATCCGAGCAAGGATACGTGCATCGGAGAATCCGAGCAAGGATACGTGCATCACAAGAGGCCTAAGATCAGATGAGTGAGGAACAGAACAAAGTTCAAAGAGTTTCGAAACTAAAGGTTGAAGGATGCGGCAGCGATATTGAGCGGTGACGTAGGTTACATATGTAATAGTTTAGCTGTGATTGTTAGCAAGAGTGATTAGAGAGAAGTAGTTCATATGGAGTTAAACTAGGAGTTAAACTATGTTCATGTGGATGGGAGAATAACTTTAAAGTGGATGTAATTTACAGAGGATCTTTAGCTCCATTCAGCATCTGCTGTGAAACAGTTGTGTATGTTCACTTACTGCAGATCTGTTCATGTTTGACAGTATTACCAGCAGAGAAGTTTTGATGCAAACCGTTGGTGTCAGAACTGCAGTAAACGCCTACGCCACTGAGAATACAGCAACGACAGAAATACCCACCCAGTCACCTCCCTTAGCATCAGCACATAAAAGATAGCATTATTGCACTCAAAAATCACAATAAATAAAGGGAGACCTGAATACACATAAGGAACTGGAAAGAAAGATGAACATGGGAAGAAAGGAGGGAACTGCAGATGCTGGCAAAAGAAGAGCTTAAGTAAGCTGGTTTGGGCTATATACCACTGAGGGATAAAAGGCATTGTACTTCAGCTATTTACTTTTTCTTAGCAACAAAGAGCTGTGAACTCCAGAGAAAAGTACAGGTTGTTTGCCTACTTCAGGACTTGAGTCTTTTTTTTTAAACTTGAAATTTGTGTGCACATCCATTTTACAGATCTGGATGATATGTATGTGGACTGTTGGTTCCTCTTCTCTCAGACAAACGCACTTCAACTTTGAAGGAAATACCTCTAATTCGTCAGCTTTTATGACGTGCTTGTAAGATCTGCAGTGGATCTTGGGGCCCAGGAACCCACATGAGAAGAGCTTTTATGATTATGATTAATTATGAGCACCTCGGTGGCTAGCTGGCAATTTTTCATGTACTGTGCATATATCACAAATCGGTGTGGCAAATAACATTTATTCTTTTCAGCAAGTTTATCAGCTACTAGGCAAATATTTTTTTTAATTCTGCCATGTTTATTACTAACTCAGTTGGGTTATCTTCACAGCACTCTGGATAGGTCCATAGGTGCTCAGAGTCCCCCTTCAACATACACAGACAGCATCGTGCAGTTAATAGTGCCAGTCTATGCTGGTGAGGTTAACAAGAGTTCTTTATGCCTCTTTCTTATGCTTGGCTGTGGTGATCTTTACTCCCAATTCTCGTATTCTTAGTAATGATCTGGGCATGCTGCTCCCCAAAAAATACAATACTTAGATCCCTCCATCTATCTAACAAGGGCATTCCATTCATTCACTAACAGTAACTTAACGGTTGGTGTGTGATCAGTGATCCATAGGCTGGCCATCTGGGAGGCTTTTACTAATTTTTGAAAATGTAATTACACATTCTAACCACTAAAAATATTAAAATTATTAAGTAAGTTAAATAAGTGGAGATGTGGCTGCATCTTACAGGAAAGAAGAGAAGATGGGTTTTCCGCATTTGTTTGTATTTTGAATTTGTATTGTACTCACTCTGTATGTGAGTTTTGGACAGAAGGAAACTAGAATTTGTTGATCCATTGAAAGGGCGTCAAAAGTGTTAATTCGAACAAAGGTGAGTTGAGTCAGGCCGAATATCTTTCACTCGTCATTCAATACTTTCATCTTTTTTTTTTAAACAGTTAATCAACAATAAACAAAGTAAGAACTTTCTACCCGCAAGTTGTTGTGTTCGAACGACAAACCGGATATCCCCTGATTGCTGGGTTGCTAAAAATAAAAAAAAAAGATAATTTTAAGCCAAACTACAACCCAAATTACGCCAGAAAAAACAACAGATAAAATGTAACGTTGTAATTATATCACATCAAAAGCTCTAGATTGAATTCCTGACTGTCATCATTACTGGAACAAGTAGAAGATACCGTGTAAACCTTTCTAGCATTAGGTTCAGGCCACATAATTTGTTTTTAATTTTGCATGAACATTTAGTTCTATACAACTGTATGTGTTCTAACGTTCTGCCCCGACCATATGCATATGCTGTCATGATTTCACTCAGTTACTAGATTCATCGAGAAACAGCAGATCAAGTGGTTTGGCCACTCGTTAGAATGCAGCAAGACCAAATACCATCACAAGCACTACATCTCAGAAGATCAGCTACAATAGCAAGAGGACGGCCGCTAAAAACATGGATCGACAACACTCTACGCTTTCATGGCATGATAATAGCCAGTGGCAGCCAACGTACACTGGATCGCAAATTATTTCTCCCCACGTCGCTTAACGACAGAAGTGGTTGATGATGATGAGTTAGTTACTCCAGTTAGTCCAAGGTATTCGTAACAAGAGGCCATGTAGAAAAAAGAATCCTGTTGCTGTTAATGCAGAGGTCAACGCTCTCATCAGTGAAAATTCAGACGAAGCATATGCACTCATCTACACAGACGGATCAGTTATACGCCAAAAAAAGAAGCGCGTGGGCATTCACAGCACGCTCAGCAGGCAGAACAGTCAAAGAAGCCAACGGCGCCTTCTCCATGACAACCAGCAGCATGACGATGGAGGTGATGGCAGTGACTCAAGCGTTCGCCTGGCTCGAAACACAAAACTACACCCGCGTATGTATCCTCAGTGATTAAATGCACGGCCTTCTCTATTTATATTAGAGAAGGCAGTGATTCAATGAGTATGAGCCGGAGGGTTCAGGCAGGTTCGGTGCGAAGACAATGGCTTGAATCATTACAGAAGTCGACTGTGCGTGGAGTCACCTTTATTTTTGTTCCGGGACACGCAGGCGTCGATAGAAATGAAAGAGCTGATAGGTTGTCTAAATCTGCTATCACTACCGACGGTCAGCCTATGGATCATGCTGATATTAAAAATACCCTCAGAGAAATGGGAAGGACAGAGGACTTTGGGGGCAGTGAATCCACGTCATTCGCCAGAATGGCAGACTCGGGAATTAAGATCGACATAGCAACAACAACAACAAAAAACGAGACGCGCACCAGACGACTTGTTAATCAACACAGAACTGGTACTATTAGCCATCGGACGTTGGGGTTCATACTGAGGGGAGGATCTGAGCACCTATGGACATGTCTGGAGTGCAATGATGATAATCTAACTAATTCGTAACATTCGTCTCAGAAACCATATCTCTATTGCTTCTAAATTCTTCTTAATCTGTTCACTGACATTCCTAGATTCTCTGTCATACAGCAGAACAGGTTCTATGGAACATATAAGCACTCTCTTTCCACATTGGTTTTAGTAAATTGGCGTGTTTCACACGGAGGAACTATGAAGAAAATGTAAGCACATCTTGTTTAGAAAAGCCAGGAAAATGCCAAAATACGCCAGCTCATTGTCTTAAACGCCAATTTTGTGTAATCTGGCGTCAAAAAAACTAATATGGCAACCCTGGACACTGATAGGGACTTCCAAATTTTAGCTGCCAGGGTTAAGAACCGACATCATAACACTTAAAACATTCCCATAAGCACTCTGTCCCTATCTTTGCAGCCGGCCTTTACTCCCCATGGCATTTCCTATATCACTGTTAGCTACGGAGTTCGGTCATATTGGCTATGTCCAGTTCAGTAGTTTTGATCTCAGTTTTACTTACGTACATGTATTCTTAGTTGAAAGCATGAACAATATCGACGGGAGAATCCAGAGGACAAAATTAATACAAAATGGGAATGTTTCAAAACTAGTATAGAAACACCTAATGCCATCTTACCAGTGAAAGAAAACGAGAAAAAATCAAGTATGGATGACTGAGGAAATTATTCACAAAATGACACAAAGGAAGAAAGCAAAAAACACTCCAGAATATTCATTAATTGACAAATAAATACGAGATATGTGTAGAACTGCTAACTGGAAACATGGATTCAGTTAAAATGCAAAGAAATAGAGGATTTTGAAATAAAACACAGAACCAAGGAAATACATGCAAATATAAGAAAACTTACAAACAAGGGAAAACATTTAACAGGAAATGGTTGTATTAGGGGGAAGGATGGACAAATTATTGTTGATAAGAAAGATATAATAAAAAGATGGACTGAATACACAGAAGACCTGTTTTGGGACAACAGAGGTGACAAACCACCAATCCATAATATTCAAGAGGGACCAAACATATTAAAAGTCTGAAGTAGAGAAAGCCATTAAACAGATGAAGCAGGGAAAAGCTGCAGGTCCAGACAACATAACTGCAGAAATGTTAAAATCATTATCTACTTTTGGAATTGATACTATCACAGAAATATGCAATGACATTTATAACTATGGGTACATTCCCAGGGACATAAAAACATCTGTTTTTATCACACTACCCAAGAAATCAAAAGCTGTTGATTGTGAAGATTACAGAACTATTAGCTAATGAGTCACGTAACTAAGTTACTCTTGAAGTTAATACAAACAAGAATTCAAGATAAAATAGAGAAAGAAGTTTCTGAAGAGCAATTTGGATTCCGTAAAAACAGTGGTACTCGAGAGGCCATAATTTGTCTAAAGATGCTGACTGAAAAATATATAGAAGTTCAGAATAATATTTATGCATGTTTTATAGATTACAAAAAAGCTTTCGACAGAGTGCAACATGAACAACTAATTGCAGCTCTTCAAAACATAGGACTAGATGGAAAGAATATCAGACTTATTAGAATCTTATACTGGGAGCAAGAAGCAACAGTAAGATATGACAACATCTGCTCACCCCAGATAGAGATCAAGAGAGGAGTAAGACAAGGATGTGTGCTGACGCCTAGCCTTTTCAACTTATGTACAGAAACCATTTTTAAAGAAATTGTAGAATTACCAGGACTGCACATCAATGGTAGAATAATAAACAATCTGAGATATGCTGACGACACAGTGTTGCTAGCAGAGAGTGAGCAGGAGTTGCAAGAACTAGTGGAGCAAGTAAACAGGAGTGCAGAATTTGGATTAGATATAAATTTGAAAAAGACAAAAACCATGATATTTAGCTAACAATGAATATCACAGTGAACGGGGTTAAACTGGAACAAGTTAAAAATTTCTTATATGTTGGACAAGTAATAACATGTGACGGCAGAAGTGAAACAGAAGTCAAGAAAAGAATAGGGATGGCCAAAAACATTTTCAACAACATGCAGAAGTTACTGACATCAAGTGAAATAAGCAATACATTAAAAATGTGAATTGTCAAATGTTATGTATTCTCAACCTTACTGTATGGCACAGAGACATGGACAATGAACAAAAACAACTGGAAAATCGTATCAATTCTTTGGAGATGTGGATATACAGAAGATTAGGTCGTATTTCATGGAAACAAAAGCTATCAAATACAGAGGTACTGAGGAAATTGGGCATCAAAAGAGAGTTGCTAGGGGAAATAAAAAAGAGACAAGTGAAATATTTTGGACACATTAAAAGACATAACAGTATTGTAAAGATCATCCTAGAGGGAAAGGTTCAAGGTAGGCGAGCAAAAAGCAGACAGCGTTACAAGTGGGAGGATAACATCAAGAGATGGACGAACAGCAGTATGAGTGAGTGTACATCAAGGGCAAGAGGCAGGGCTTGTTGGAGATCCATTGCAGCCAACCTTCATTGTGGAGACGGCACATGATTGATTGATTCTTAGTAATTTTTCAAGAATCTCCCTTTCAACCCTCAGGGTTATAATTGAAATATATATAATGTTAATTAAGTTCTTATAGTATATATTTGTTGTATAAAATGTTTACGTCATGTAATTATTTATATTACCAAAATGCAATTTGTATAGTTTCACATATTCATTTGATTTGGTCTGTGAAAGAAACTGTACTATGAAAAATTAGACATTAACGATGAATAATTAGATAATCTTGATAGCACTGTGACTTTAGGAGAAACTAATTCAAAGATGTCGTGGGGATTCTGTCCTCTTCTATATATGAATTTTAGTCTTAGTAATAAACTGCTGGACCTTGCCATACAGCTCTCTGGGGCTGTTTGTTCATGTGCACGTTTTCCATCGTCATATGTAGTTTACAGAGATTTATTTGGTCAGTTAATGGTTTTCTTTGGTTTTCATATTTCTGACGCTCTGTTGTACTGTATTTCTGGCATACATTACATGTCTCTTTCTGTATAGTAGAGCAAGACCATTCAATTTGTATTCTAAGCAATGTACGATTGCATAGGATTTTAAGATCATCAGTTATTTACGTACAAACTTTATCCTCTAGAACTCAGTGACACAACAGAGGATGACCTATCCATGCCGATAAAGTAAGTGGTAGCCATCACTGGGCAGACTGTGTTCACTTTGACACTCTGGATAACCCCCCCCCCCCCTCCCCATTATTTAAATGCGCTGTCTTCCCCTTCACCCTAATATGATCCCTGTGTTAGCTCCGGGGCCCTACTGGTGGGGGAAGGGGGGTGCAAGAAAAGACCCACTGCCTCCCCAACAAGCATGGCGTAAGAGTAATTAGGGATTTCTTTCAAAGTCGGAGTGCACCTGCCTGAGAGGCAAGGAACCAACAATCTGCATACAAATGTCAGATTTGTAAAACAGATTTGCATGCAACACTTAGGTTCTGGGACAAGTCTAAAGTCTGTGAATGCGAAGAAGACACACTAGCAATGAAGCTGATGAACTCTTATGGAGGCCGTGGGTATGTGTTTGAATAAGATACTGCTGATGTATTTCTCCTCCTTGATCCAAAGGAATGACAGCAGTATGGTGAACTGCCACATCATGGACACTTATCTCTGGAACCTTCCATTGGGGTTACTTCACAAACCTCTTCCATGTACAGGTATCCTACAAAGATGGATTTAGCATACCTTCCCTTAGATGGGCTACCATGTGTTGCTGCCCAGCCCTATAAGGAAAGCAAAGATAGCCAGACTTTGGGTTAGAGCACAGAACCTAAGAAGTATTCAGGATCCAGGTCATGCCGGTGTGTTGGGAAATGAGCAGGCAGATAGACTGGCTGGTTCTGCACCACTTGGTGGTGATATCATGTATGACAAGCTAGATGTGAGGGCCCTTTAGGAGCGAGTGAACAGTGCCGAGACACAGATAGATCATTACGGTCTGAGGAGAATGATGCTGCAAGGAGTTATCAGGGGATCTGGCCGACGCTCAACACTCAGAGGAAGAACAACACAGATATTAGTTTCTGGTGCCATTGGAATTAGAACTCTTTGCTTGCTGCTGAACATGAGGGCAAAGCGCTTATGGGAATGCCCCAAGTGCTATAATGATGATGATTATTTTAGCATTGGATACATTATCTGGTGATATAAAATCTTTGCTGTTTTTTCAGCTATCAGTGCTGTGCATCTGATTCAACATGGGTCATAAACAAAGCGGTGTGCTTGTGGTCTTCACTCCTGCCCCATCATCTGTAGATCACGTTTGTGCTCTCTGACTGGGCGATCCTGTAAGACACTGTAGTTTGCTGTGGTGAGCCACAGCCATATGCAGCCGAGTTAACAAGACCCATTCGATGTAGGTGTCCTCTCATTTTACAATGTTCCATTCTAGGTCTGACAACTGCACCAAAATCCAGTCTTTGAAATGTTTGATGTGTTTATTTTGAGAGCCTATACTCATCAGATGCTACATAAAATTATTTAGAATACTGTGGACCAAAAATAAACAAAATGTCAACATTCTGCATGACTTGAACATCCAGGAGAACTGGCTCATAAACAACACCCTCTTCTGAAAGCTGGGGACATGTCTAGCACTATAGTGGTCTGGAGAGAACTGTGAGGTAGGATGCAGTTTCTGGAAAATGATGTAGAGGCTAGAGGATACAGGACACAGAAGATGCATTGCCTATGAAAGAACTGTTGGAGAACTGACTACTAGAGAGACTGAGACTTTCAGGCATTCTGTGAAGAGAGCAAAATTCTGTAAAGGATAAACTGATTGGTTGATTGATACTTATAAGAGATAAAAGGGATCAAAAGAAGTTCATGTACTAGCCAAAGTTGGTGAGTCCCATTTACCTGCGGCTACCAAAAATGTGTTAAAAATGACTTAGCTTTTGCTCTTTTTTATCATTTACTTGTGCGGTTACATAGGGACGACAGTCTAGGCCTCCATTCTGTGTAGTCTTTTCTTGGATGAAATCTTTCGGCTTTTCTCAGTTACCTTTTTTTTAGCATCTCTCTTGGACATCCTTGTCTCCGCAATCCATCAGTTTCCCATTTCAGTGTCTGTTAGGCAATTCTCTGCTGGATGCAGGATGGGCCAAATACAGCACTGCCTTTGTCTTATACTGTTGGTACTCCCGGTTGTTGTCCAGAGATTTCTCACATTTCTTGAATTCATATGATTAAAAATTCATCAACATCCTGAGGATATTTTTTTTCAAACTTCTTTTCATTGGCGTCAAATTATTTTTAACACACACACACAAAAAGATGAATAAGGCAAACACAAAGATAGTTTAACATTACTAATTATTTTCAATTTTTATTAACTGCAAATTTTTAGAATACATACATTACTGAAAACCATACGGCAAAACAATCATACAAAATCCAGTCCTCTCTTCAGCTGCTGACTTCATGTTCTGAAAGTAACATGTTGGGGATGCCGTTTGAAATGGGGAACTTCCTGCCAGATTCTGGACAGACCAGCTCTCCTTCAATTATATCCACCTGAAATCATTATAAAACAAAAATATTGCTGTCTTCCACAATTTTGGTGTCTTATTGAGGGGGAAAGAGGGTTGATCCACTGTTCTCTTCATAAGCTTGTTGTAAAAAGAAGTCAGTCAGTGGTGTTTCCTTCAAAGTGGACGGGCATCTGCCTTGAGTGGCGAGGAATCAACTGTCTGCATACAACCAAATTCCAGAAGTTGACAAACAGCCTGAACTTTATGCCAGAGTTTCACAGCAGGTGCATGCCAAGAAGAAGAAGATTCTTGCATTAAAAAGGGGCCATTATTAGTGTTTGTTCACCGAGATTACTCCAAATATATAAGGTCTTATTTGCTGCAACTAGTTCGCAAATTAAAGGCGTTGATATCGTGATAAAGGAGAAAATCAGAATGTACAATTTGTATAGACCAGCAAATAAAGGTTCTTGAACTTTCAAGATTGGAAATCAATGACACCAACTGCATAATAGTGGGAAAGATGGGGATACCCAGATACTGACACCAGAGAAAATGAAGTCGAGGACTGAGACTCTATCTCGACATAATCAACAAACCAGAAGACAAACCCAGCTTCTACTCTAAAAGATGGGTGTAAATCCTCCACCCCTTACTGCAGGCAGCATATGCGTACATTCCAAGAGGCGCGAGGAAAAATTATAAACCATACTGGACTAAGGAACTTGATTCTGGAGGAAAAAGTCAAAGATGTGAGGAAAACAGCAGACCAAACAAACAATTGAAGCTAACTTTTCAATGAAATCCATATATGCAAAATACAAAAGAACATTGAATTAAACAACTAGAAATACCTGGCCCCAAAAAAAACAGAAAGCCAGAATTTAGACAAAGATTTAAAAAATGGTAAAAGCCACAAATACTGAAGGGCCCAGTAAATAAACAAATAATTAATACAAGAGGGTAACAACATACTAACAGGAAAAAGGCTGCAAAGATGACTAAGTACTGTGCTAGTGGAAATCACATTGATGTCACAGCAGAACACAAAAAAAAAGCAATGAAAGAGCCACAGGCATATCAAGGTAACACAGAGAGAAATCAGAATTTATGATGGAAAATCTAAATATGGAAGAGCTGTAGCGGGCAGTGAGTTCGCTGAAAAAAAGAAGAAATCACCAGGGAAGGATGAGATCACAAACAAACAGAACTGCCACGACAAAAGTATAAGATGTGATGAGGTGCTTTGCATGGTCTCCACACGTACATAGTGGCAAGCAGAAAGTCCCTGCTACAAGTGACAGCACGAGATGTGAAGAATCTGAATCTGTGAAGCTGAATCCAGAGTAAGAAGTGCATATCCACGTTTTGTGCAAAGTAGATCTGAATTAGAGTCGACTGAATGTTAGTTCTGAACGACAAGACATGCAGCGCTGTTGAATGATCCTTTAGGCCAGCAGTTGTGTTTCACGGTATGTTTGTTGTGCCAGCCGTGCACATGCCAGTGTCCATCGTCCGAAGCATGGCTAGAGACTCAATACGTGAGCAAGGCGAGATTGCCCGAATGGCGTAAGTTAATTCATCTGTTGATTCGTGCCGCTCGTGTTACATTGACAATAAACCTGTGAAATGCGTCAGCTGTTGTCGACCGTCATTTAAAGTTGTGTGGCCGTGGAGAGAAGTGCCGTCTGGCTAGAGTGAACTGTGACATAACAACTAGACAACAGAGTCAGTGTTGAATCTGCACCAGAGAGATTAAGTGTGGAGGAGACACATAACAACTATAACTGGAAATGGTAAAATGACAAGCTAAACACTTGCTGCAAGAGTGTCTGACACATTCAGAACAGAGAAAATTATTCTGGCTAACATGTGCTCCCTTTGAGGACAAACTCTATGGAGATGTTAACAACCACAAGCTGACTGCTGATTTCATTAAACAGATTCACACTGACGTTTGAAGGTATAAGATACAGAAAATTGTCAGGGATTCTAGGAGCTGATAGTCTAGAGATGTATCTTCTCTGACACATAGTAAGCAAGAAAATCCATACGCATACTGGGAACCGAGTAATAAGAGGAACAGATGGACTGTCGATACAGCTGCCCATACAAAATTTCCAAGTTAGAAAATGTTAATTAAAACTAAAAAATTTATTACAACAAGTAACATCCTGGTAAATATAGCAAGCTCTGTAGACAGCCTTAAGCAGGCAATGCACACACAAAAAACCTGGTCATCTACTGCACCTTGATCCATCCTGCCACTGGACACGGATGGACACAGGCGAAAGAGTGAGAGGTCAATGAATTTGGGCCAGACTGCTTCTCCATTAACAGAATACAGCGTTGGAGCACATTCTCTAAGGAATGTATGTGTGATGTCATGCTTCTGAGGTGGATTTCCCCATACGATCTGTGCCTTTTGACCTGGCGTCTCCAGCTTCAACACTTTTCTTTCAGGATATGCTTCCTTGAACCCTAACCAACTAAGATCTGACCACTGGTATCATTACTTTAGAAGTAGCTCCTCGTGTGGGTTCCAGGGTCCTACTGTGGGGGAAAACAAGAAAAGACCCACTGCCTCCCAATCAAGCATGTTGAAGAGTCAACTAATTGGGTGCTTCCTTCAAGTGCATCAACCTGACATGCCAGGAACAACCAACTGCACACAAGTATGCCAGTAAAACAGATGTACACGCAAAACCCAGGCACTGGCACAAATGGACAAACAACCAGGAGTGTGCTGGAGCTTACAGTGGTGAATAAAGCAGAAGAATGATTAAAAGTTGAATGTGACTTACCTGTAACAAAGCATTGTGAATTTTTCTCAGTAACGTTTCATCTTTTTGGAAATCCTCCCCCAGTTCTATTGGCAGATCTTCTCCATAGCCAACCTGCAAGACACATATACCTCAGTTATTTAATCGTTAGTTATGAAATAATACTACTTTATAGTTATCTTGTGAAAGAGGGAAATGAAAACCAGTCAAATTACCAGAATAAATAAAATCATTAGATGACATTCTGGTGATACTTTAGTCAATATCACATGCCCTAACAATTGACATGCTTTTTCACAACTCAGAAATTCCAAAATAAAGTATCTTCATCTTCTTCATCAACCATTCTTGTTATTCCAGCAATGCTTACAGAATGGTGCGCTTAAGGTCTTAGCTGATCCTTCATTGTCTTGTGCGGCTGCTTTTTGTGTCCAGATTTTCTCCATGTGGCAAATCTTGTAGGACAGGTTGTAAAATTTGCTTTGGTGCTCCATACTTGCAAGTGGTAGAGTCAGTATAAAGCTTTAAGGAAAGGCGTGCTTTAAATTTCCAGTACAATAACTCACCGGCTTCTCTCCCAGTAAAAGTCAGACAAAAAGTGGAATAAAGGAATACTAACCTCATTGGCAGCTTGGTGCAGAGCTGGCCAGTCCACTTTGGAAAGTGTTTTGATAATAAACGGTTCATTATAGTCAACCTCTCTGACTTCTACCTTGCTGGCCTGAGTCAACAAACATTAGCAACATTTATTAATACATAGCTCCCAACAATCATCTTGAAATTTGAAGCCAACATACCATCTACATAAAAGAACAAAGACAGAATAGAAACACTAGAAGAAAAAAGACAGGCTAGTAAAGTCGAAGGACACAGGCAAGATAGTAACATTTAAAAAAAAAAACAAGATCAAATCAATACTAAAAGAAATAATAAAGACGAGCTAGTAACGGGTCAAAGAACAAACCAAGATAGTAATATTACAAGGAAGAAAAGAAAGCAACAAAGCCAGCACAATAACACTAGCAAAAAGAGACCAAAAAGCTCAGTAAAATTAAAATGCTGTTTACAAATGAGGCAAGTGTAAGGCCATAGAACCAGTATCATCTCCAATAGGGCAGTGGCAGCAAGCCAGATTTTTTTGGGTTTTTAGCATCAACAGATTTACTGTCTTTTAAAGAAAAAGCTGCCTTTACTGTCTGTAATTACCACTTTAGGAAGAAGGGGGGGGGGGGGGGTGTCGTGAACCTCAGCAACGAACGCAGAGTTCAAATTCTAATAGCTGCCTAATTGTATATCCTCCTCACCTTTTCCTTGAGCGCTGACCAGATCCCCTGGTCACTCCTCGCAGTACTATTCTTTTCATACTATGATGATCCACTTGTGCTTCGGCCCTGTTTACTTGCTCCCAAAGGGCCCTTACAACATCTAGCTTATCACGTATCAATTCACCACTTTATTGTGCACAACCAGGCAGTCTACCTGCCTGTTCATTCCCTAATACTTACTTACTTAGTCGCTCCTCTTCTACCTTGGGGTGTAGAGGTTTGCCAGAGAGATCGCCAGACGTCTCTATCAGCAGTTTTCTTTCTGGCTTTGTTCCATTCCAGCCCTCTGTCAGTTAGGGACTGTCGGATGTTGTCTTCCCAGCGCACCCTGGGTCGTCCCGGAGGTCTGGTTCCCTGGTTCTTAGCCTCCCATGCTTGCCATGGTGGCCGATTTTCTCCCATTCTGCATACATGTCCAAACCATCGTAACTGTGACTGATCTACTCGGGTCAGTAAGGGCTGGGTATCAAGATCTTGACGTATTGTCTGATTGTGGACTTTGTCCCTTCTTGTCACTTGGACCACCTTTCTCAGGTATCTCATTTCCGAGGCCTGCAGCTGGCTTCTGTAAGCTGTTGTCATTGCCCATGACTCACACCCATAGGTCAGGACTGGTACATAGGTTCATTCCCTAATACACCAGCATAAACTGGGGAAAATATCAAAAGGATGCTAACTACTCGGGACATCTGAAGCGATGCTTCCCACTATTCACATAGTAGACCAGTCCTCACCTTTCTCAGCATGCTCTGTGAGTCAGTAACAGTTACGCTGTGTGTGTATAGCAGATTCTTAAGCCAGCGAACAGCCGCAGTGACTACCTCCACCTCCATTCTCAGACTCGATATTGTGGTGTCAATCAGATTATACGACAGGCATGGATAGATGGTCACACCATATTTCATAAAGAGGTGGCGTACAGCATCTACATCTAGCTCATGCAGACCTGGTTTGTCTCATGACACTGACGGGAATTTTACTAACTACAGATGGAATGGTATACTCTCAAATGATCCTTCGGTAGTGGATCAGACAATTAGCCTTCTCAGATATGTTAAAGAGCCCACAGCATTCGGAAATCAAAAAAGAACAAGCCGAATTAGCTGTCCATACAGGGGTCTCCACTGTCTAGCTGCTCTGTGAACAAAGACCGGACCACAAGGGACAAAACCGGGTGCAATGAAGTAAGCCCTCTCAAGCTGAACCAATTTTTTTTTAAAGCAAACCACATGAAACATGCAAGTTATTTTGTAACTTTATGGTGCCAAAATAACTGTTTTAAACTGTTTAATGGGGTTTCTGTTATTAGCTCCTGTCGAGCTTGCCTCAGAAAAGTGACTCCTTGGGTCACTAGATGACAATCTCTCAGGCTACATCCCCAGATGAGAGCATTTTAAAAAAAAAAAAACCTTAGCTCTATACTGACAACAGTTCGAGCACTCATTTTGTGGTCCATGGCAGCAGACTAAAGCACAGCACTTCTGACGACAGCAGTGTGCAATTAACTCGATACTTTGTAAACTCTTCATCAACATGTGCCGTGCCGATAAGCTGTCATGTCTCACCAAATCGCCAGTCACAGATCAAGCCTGTGTTCTTTTCTCACCCCGTCCATATGTTATGTTACCATAATCGACATCACTGCACACTGCCAAACCATCAGGGTTTTGATCTCTTTGCATTCCTTTGCTCTTTTCAATAAATCTAGTCAATCATCACCAAGTTCTTGAGTCAATTCTTTCTCATACCATGTCCAAATATTCAGGGTCTACATCTAATTTCTCAAAAAGTTTATGGTTATTATGCCTCTAGAACAGTGTTTTCAACCTGCAAAGTGAGTTTTACGAACAATAAACATGACATCATAAAGAAGTTTAGTGTGGAGAAAAAAACAATCATTTATTCACCCTACCACGATCTTCAGAGGGAAGCCCTTGGTCACTCCTTTAATCACACTAGATGTCAACATATTATGTGTTAACAGCTTCATTGTCTTTGGTCTAGAAATATTTTCTTTCCGTGTCCGGGCTGGAAAAATTCCTGAAGAAAGTAAATATTAAATATACTTCAAAATATGCAAATACCCCAAAATCTGCTCTTTTGCCATATTTATATATTAGTTAGTGCTGACATGTGGTGGATGGAAAGACTAGACTTACAAACTTGAAGTCATCAACAGGAAACATCAAACAAAAGGTCAATCCCACAGATTCTTCTTCTTTATGTTACCCAGCTGTAAACTTCGACAACAAGTTCTGTTTGTTTATCTACTTCTGGACTTTGGTCTTGCTCCAGTACTTGAGTTCTTCTTCTTTCTCTTCACGTTCACCAGCTGCAAACTCCAGCGGAAAGCTCTGGTTGCTCCGTTTCACAGGTCTACTAACTAATTTGCATGCAGACTGTTGGTTCCTTGCTTCTCAGGCAGATGTACTACGATTTCGAAGGAAGCTCCCAATTAGTCGACTCCTATGACATGCCTTTGGGGAGACCCTGTGTCTTTTCTTGTTCTCCCTACTAAGGGGGAACTTGAGCTGTCTGTGTGTACATCTGTTTGTATATTTTTGGAGGGCATATTCGTAAGCAGACTTTTGGTTCCTCGCCTCTCAGGCTGATGCACGAGTTATATATAAGTATAAGGAAACACCCCTAATTAGTCGACTTTTACGACATGCTTGTTGAAAAAAAGGGGGTGGGGGGTCTTTTTTTTTTTTCTCTCCACTCAAAATTATAGTAAGGTTGCGGAACCCTCACGGAGAAATCAAATCCAACGGATTAATAAGTCAGGACGGACGGTCCTTCTACGTTTGATGCACACACACACATCATCGTTAACTAAAAACGCGTGTTCACGTTTGAAAAATATAGTAATTTGTATAAACAAAAAAAAAATCTTAATCACTGTATCAACAAGCAGAAAGCGTGTGGATTTTCGTAATTTTCTTCGTGCAGACGTAGTGTGCAGATTTTTCTAATAACTTACGGTTTAGTGATCACAACTTTACCTAAGTAAGCGTTCAACAATTTCATTTATTTGCTCACTTACTAGTAATTTAACTTCAATTAAAATATTAAAGAAATTTTAAATAGAATACAGTATTAGTATTGCGATTATTGAATAGTGTTTAAGTGAGACGTTTTATTGGTTATATGAAAATATTAAAGTACAATTTGGCATTTTTAGTAAAATTCTATATGACAGTCAAAAATTATTTTTATTTTATTGCAGTAATAGTAAACTTTCATATGTATTATAATTTATATTTAGCGTAACATAGCCACGCTGAGTACGTTTTAGAAATTTTTATTTTAGGAATTTATATATATTTATATATTTTTTCTTTACCCACTGCGAATTTTCCGGATACATTTTAATGGCAATACAAAACTGTGGTTCTCAATCTTTTTTTTTGATTGGATCGGAATAGTTTCATAAACTTTTCAATCAATAGCATATATAATTGTTATATCTAAATTTTGATTCTGCTTTTGCAAAGAGTAGTGTGGTAATTCTGAGAAAAGTCCTGGTAGTCAGTGGTCAGTCTGAGTTTGGCAGATTGGTGGTTATCCCATTATTAAAGTTGTGATGATGATCTTATTGCAATACCCGAGAGGCAGGCGACAGAAGGGAACGTCGCCTGAAAGAAAGTTTCATTGGTTTGGTTTATACAACGGGTCAACATCATGGCACAATGTTAGAAACCCATAAGTGCTCTTTCTACTTCTAATTCAAGCCTGAGTCCGAAGAATCTCAGCACAGTGTGCAAATTATGTAGCACTGGCGAGGATCCTGAAATACTTTGGGCAGATTTTAAACACCAAATTTTTTCACAGACAGCGCCGTTAGGCTACTCTTTTCTATTTCCAACTGCCAAGTGATTTTTTTACGTGCACAACAATACACATGGGCGCCCAATCCTACTAGATGTGCCAAAGCTAATCAATTAATGGGGCAACTATCTACCCTGTTGACAAAGCAGATACCCCGGAGTACTAAAGTGAATCTTATCAGATCAACTTTTTTGCCAACACTATGGTATCAGTGCCAAACGTGGACACTTACATCCTCCAATGAACGTAAAATTGGACAACAGAGATCAAATGCCTTAGAAGGGCTGCAGGAGTTTCAAGGAAAGACAGAATACGAAATCAAACGAATGCTAGGAATAAAGCCAGTCGTACAAGTTATCAGTCAACAACAAATGAAGTGGTTTGGAACCTAACAAGAATGCCCTGGTACTATATGCCACACTAAAACGCTACAACGGTTATAGAGCGAGTGGAAGACCTAGGTGTGATGGCATTAAGAACAGCCTTACAGAAATGAACATCAGTCTTGAAAGTGCTCTTGACATAGCTCATCAACTAACATTGCATCTCCACCAGACACTTCGCTGCTGTACAAGGTAGAAGAGAAGAAGAAGAAGAAAAAGAAGATTCAACTACAACATATCCATTGCTTGGAAGTCCTTGAGCTTTTTCCGTAAGCATTGACTGCCACTTCTGTGATATTTACCATTTTTGGGGTTTTGGGCGGGGTGATCTTTGAGTCATCGGGTTAGTGATGCAGTTGCAATGGACTATTCAAGTTGTGCTTTTATTTTTACCTCGCCAGGAAAAAAAAACAAGCGGCGTCCGTGGCTTAGGAGTTGCGAGTCCGACTCGAAATTCCAACGTACCGCGATCAAAACCCATGGCCGGCTGCTTGGATTTTTATCGTGGTATGTGGCGTCGTAGGTCGACCCAGCCTAAAACGGGTACCAGGATGGCCTGGCATAATGCTGCCAAAATAACCCACCTGGTGCCGATTGGTCTGTAAAAATATGGGTGCTCTTTTCATATGTCTGATGCGCCTAAAGGCGTGAAAATGGATCTTTACTTACTTACTTTACAGGGAAAAACCACATAACCTGGGATTTTAACTTTAGAGCTAAGCATTTCTAATCGATCGGCTAGCCGTTCCATTTTTGAGGGATTGTTTCTTCTTCTTTATCTTTTCTCTACTGGTAAAATGCCTCACAGTGTGGCAGAGGCATTGATATCCGATAATTTACAGAGTAAGTCTTGAAGATAATTTGAGAATCACTGGTCTAAGGGAGACAATTCTCAACGAGTTGTCAACAACAAGCAACGCGTGCTTGTCCAGTCTCTCAGAAACACAACTTGTGGGGACATATTCACAAATCCGTCAAACATGGGGATTAAATCTTTGAGTGGCAACAAGAAAAAAGCGGTGAGATGTTAGTTATTATTCGTACACTGCATCTTGTCTCACAAAGGTGTTTATGTTTTTTTTTTTTTTGTTTACTTCGAAAGTTGCTTTCGTTTTCCCCACCCTCGTCAGTCGTGTCAGTGTGGTGTGGTTCCAGGGCCCCATTTTCAATCCAATCAAAAATACACGAATAGTCAGTCACACTGCCCTCTTCTCTTTTAACAAGAGTGACGTAGGAGGCGACTGATTAGGTGTATTTCATTCGTTCGAAATCGTTGAGCATCTGCCTGAGTCGAGAAGTCAACAGTCTCATACTACCGACTTTTGAAGAGTTTTTGCACATCTGAGATTGTGAAGTGTTTTTTTTTTTTTTTTAGAAAACTCGAAAAACCTTGTCTAAGACAATGTCTTAGTCTCGTTAATTTCTTATCATCGCACAATTAAAAAAAAAAAAATGTGTATTGTATTTAATTGTGAATTAATTATAATTTTACATGATATTCAAGCATCACTTGACACTTCAGATGTCCCGGATAGTTAGCATCCTTTGGATATTTTCTCCAGCATGCCGATGTGTTGAGAAATGAGCAGGCAGATATAAACTGGATGGCTCTGCACCACTTGGTGGTGAATTTACGTATGACAAGTTAGATATTGTGAGGGCCCTTTGGTAGAGAGCAAACAGTACGAGGGCACAGACAGATCATTACAGTCTAAGGAGAATGGCTCTGTGAGGAGTTACCAGAGGATCTGGCCTGACACTCAGGGGAAGGATGAGATGGATATACAGTCAGACAGCTACTGGTACCATCGGAATTGGAACTCTTCGCTGCTGAAGATGGGGACTGAGCACTTATGGGAGTGTCCCAAGTGCTATGATGTTGATTCTTAATTCAACATGAATTTAAAAAAAAAAATTATTACATTTATTAGTTATTGCTGTGGTACTTTAACTTTAAATTCAAGTTATACATTGTAATTGTTACCAGGGCAGAATGAATTTGGCTGACACTATGTATGATTACAGCCTCTGTCCCTCTTAAGATATGCTAAGCATTGATTGACACAGTTCTCTCCATTTCGCAGTTCAGATTCACATGAACTGGTTTTCCTCAAAGTCGGAGTACATCTGCCTGAGAGGCAGGAAACAAGATTGGCACACAAATAAGCCAATAAAACAGATGTACACACAAAACTGAAATCCTGGTCCAGAGCCAAAGTCTAAGTAGACAAACAACCATGACTTTACGCCGGAATTCACAGCTGGTGAACGCAGATAAGAAGAAGAAGAAGACATGAACTAATCATGTGTTGTCCTGTGTTTTCTTCTTAGTGTTTACTGACTGTACTGTAAACTCCGGTGGTCAGTCTGGGAAACTCCTGGATGTTTGTCCAGTCCACCTCTGGACTTGTAGTCTTGTTCCAGAACTTGCAGTTTTGGTGTGCACATCTATTTTATAGATCTGGCTTATTTGTATGCAGACCGTTGGTTCATAACTTCTCAAGCAGACACACTCTGACTTAGAAGAAAACAGGAAACATCCCTACTAAGTCACCTTATACAAAAACATTCTTGTGGGAGGGAGGGCAGTGGGTGGTATTTATTGTGTCCCTCAAAATGGAGCACAGAACCCACACTGGAAGTTCTGTGTCAAATGTATGAACCTCAAAGAACATATTCTTCAGGGAGCTTTACAAACAAGCTTTCATAGCCCCGAAAAGTGACCAACACCCTGAAGTACTACAGCATTGACTTTAAAAATTGAAGAATACTTCTACTGGCTGGTGTGCTTGACATAATCAAATATCTTCTGGCATGGTAACCTTTGGAGCAATTTAGAATGAAAGACGTTCCAGTGGATAATACCTTATATGAAATTGAAAAGTAAAGATTAACCATTCTTAGTCACCTTTTTGACATGCTTGGTGTGTTTCCAATGTTGCTATTCTTTGCTTCTCTCAAAATGGTCATGGTGAAATATCTCTGCTAATATAACTACTGATGTTTATATCCATATGTTTACAAACATATTAAAGCATAAACATGGCTGAAGACACAGTCCTTATCCCACTCATGCTTTCTCAGTGACTTAGTGACTATGCTTAAGAAGATAGAGATGGACTGGGTGTGAAGACATTGGTTAGAGGCTCTGAAACAGTCGGGGCTGAAACATATCAGTTTCAAAATTGTGCCAGGGCACGGCATGCAAGTGTGCAAGGATCTGAATGCTCTATGAGAAAGTAAGATGTTTGCGAGAACCAAGTGTTGACTTTGAGTCTGCAACCATGACCAGACTGCAAGAACATGTTGAAATAGGTGTGGCTAGACAAGATCACTATGCAGAAAGCCAAAGAAGAATAGGTAACCAACACAGAACTGGTATTGTTAGCTGCCACACACTGCGGGATTTACTGAGGAAGGAATCTAAGCACTGAAGGAACTAAATGGTTTGATGTAAAATAAGGATAATCTGTCGACTGTCAAAATCCCAACCCACGACCTTCTGATCCACAGGCAAGCATTTAGCCGCTACAGCATGTCGGCTGCCTTACAAAAGTAAGCTAAAAGAGAGTTTTTCTTTAAAGTAAAGATTTATTACGTAGAGAAACAGACACAGCGGTTCTGTTATCTAATGCAAATCCACAACTACACCTGTTTCTCCTCTTCAGAACGGACCCCCCCCCCCCCCTTTCCCTGCCAAAGTAAATCTAAACATGCACAGTTTGTGGCAGCTGCAATAACTTCCCAGCCCTGCAACCTCAGGTTCAAGACCACTGCCCTACATCACCCTAAAAAGTGTTTCAATGAGGGCAGTACAAGTTTATCAACACAATATTTATATTCTTCTTCTCCTGAGTGTTCACCAGCTGTAGACTCCAGTAAGGTGTTTTGCATGCCTATCTATTTTTTTTAAAGACTATGTTCACATTCAGAATCTTTCTCCTATGAAATAATATTATTACGAAATATATTTAAACGACTTTGTTAAAGCAAATTTGATTTCTTCTGTTCTCTTTCAGCTGAAAAGTCGGAAGTCAGAGAGATGGCATCGAGCACTAAAAGCAGAGAAGAAGAAGATCTTGCCTGTGGAAAGTGTGGAGATTGAAAATATTCACTTGTTTAGTAAAGAGAAGCTAAAGAACAAACTGTAAGTTCATTTTTTTTAGTTTCTGATTGTTTTTCCTCGTGGATAAAGCTAGTTCCTGTAGATACTGACATAAGGGTGTTAAACGTAAGACTTTCATCTTTATGAACTCGCTGTTTAAAAGGTAAACTATACACAAAATCAGTTTATATGCAAGTTTGTATACATAATGTGGTGTACTCTCTTTTTTCACATTCACTGGAGATGTTATCTCTGCCTTTGAATCAGTTTCTGGCTGTAAAGACATGTGATTTCTCTGCTCTGGTTCCTCGCAGAATAAATGAACTTAGAGTGGACATCGCTGCACTCTCTGTATTCCTTGGTGTGCATTAGCCACTTCCTCAGGAGCCAACAAAGAGTTCCCAAACTGATGTTGCCATTTCCCGGATTCATTTTAGACTGGGTCTGACTGGCAATAAGGTCACTGAAGGCAGTTTTTTTTTATGTTTTCACCTCTACTTCTTCTTCTACAGTGGAGACATTTAGCTAATCACTAAGGATTTTCTTACGCTAGTCACAATGACAAAATATGAATGTCTCATGCCTGTTTGCTCACGTTTCAGGAGGAATCCCAAGAATAATATTAAGATAAGTGGCAAGAAGTTTAGAAGACTTACAAAGAGGCTCGGTCATAATGTGAGGGAAAAATCACAGATGGATGGTAAGTCTACTTCTCTCTTTCTTTCCCTTACTATCTCTGTGTGTCTGCTTGCCTTTCTCTCTTCATCCCTTTGCATCTTTCTAAGTCTGTTTACACCTCTTTTTCCTGTTTGCCAAAGTTCCTATTTGGCTATATACCCCACTCTTCCTCACTCTGCCTCTCCCTCTCCATTTCACAAGTAAAATCTGTTATATTCTTTCTTTATTTCATTCTGCTTCCAGCAGTCTTATTCTGTCATCACTCTTTTTACTGATCTGTCCCAACCACCCATACATTACTGAAGCCTTAAAGGGAATCAGGAAAGTAACTCTGAAGTCTGCACATTAGTTTACAAGTTGACTCTCTAAAATGATTCTTGGTTTACACCGACTTTAACATCTAGGATTGAAAACACAAACTCCACTCAGCTCCTTTGTACATTCTGTCAGTTTATTCAGTTACATTTATTCCCCATGCTTCAATAATTATTCACACTTCTATCACTCGCGACATATTTGAACACTAACCATTCGCGCGACATAAAGACGACATCTTCAACCAAATGCAACCGTCTTCCTCGACTTCTGTTGATCAACTGACCACGAGTCTAGCTCGGGCTTTCCCTCGCTTACTCGACTAGCCACAAGTATCTCGTGCTGTCACTTGTTGCACGGACTTTCTACTTGCCACAATGTAATCGTAGAGACCATGCAAAGCAGGGTCATCACACTCTCCCAGTATGGGTTCAGAGCCCCATTTGGGGGAGACAGATCCAGGGCCACCTTCATAAGCATGTAGTTAAAGGTTGCTAATTCAGATTCAGCTGTAATTGCAGATATAGCAGCCTAGCTTTAGACCGCAACACATGTCAAACTCCCAGTAAGGGTAGACACAAAATAAGAATACTGATTAGTTTGATTCTTTAGGGGTAACTTCATTAGTCATATAAAGAAGGTTGGCTAGAGACTTACTTTCTTGTCCCTTAGCAATAGAGTCATTAATGGAACGTTGGTAGATTGGTGAAATATTCTTTGGTCTACTAAAGAAGGTTGGCTAGAGACTTACTTTCTTGTCCCTTAGCAATAGAGTGATTAATGGAACGTTGGTAGATTGATGAAATATTCTTTGGAGATGGGGTTTTGTAGACAAATTATGAGAATACACCAGGTGCGAAGTCTAGATAGACCAGTCGGAGCAGCACAACATGAAAGCCATACAAGAGCTCGCAGTAGTTACATCTACCAGTACAGAACAGGAGTCATCAGCATAAACACACAAAGACATGCGTAGGTCACAGTAGTTACATCTACCAGTACAGAACAGGAGTCATCAGCATAAACACACAAAGACATGCGTAGATCACAGTAGTTACATCTACCAGTACAGAACAGGAGTCATCAGCATAAACACACAAAGACATGTGTAGATCACAGTAGTTACATCTACCAGTACAGAACAGGAGTCATCAGCATAAACACACAAAGACATGCGTAGATCACAGTAGTTCCATCTACCAGTACAGAACAGGAGTCATCAGCATAAACACACAAAGACATGCGTAGATCACAGTAGTTCCATCTACCAATACAGAACAGGAGTCATCAGCATAAACACACAAAGACATGCGTAGATCACAGTAGTTACATCTACCAGTACAGAACAGGAGTCATCAGCATAAACACACAAAGACATGCGTAGGTCACAGCACTTATTGGTATGCCTGATGTGCAGTGAAACTCATTGTGAAATGAACAGTGGACATTGTTTTGCCATTTGAACACACTTGTCACAGATATTATGAATTAATCAGGTAACATAAAGTGTATTGATTGGCACTCATAGAAAGAAGTAGAAAGATAGAAGAACACAGATAGCAGAATCCTGACAGGCACCGGCTGGAATTTGAACCTGGTATCCTCTGAGTATGACATTGTCATCACAACCTCTCAGCCACACCTCCTTCAATTATAAATTGATAGAGATTGCAGGGAGCTCCACTTCACCTCACAAAGGAAATGTTAATGGAAATTTATTTAATATGTGTCTGTCAACTAGTGATATATTTAAATCCCAATCAAAAGCAGAGTTTTTTAAATTGATCATGGTTTCCATTTTGTCCCAGCCTGAATGGACACCAAGTAATCCTGGGACATAAAGATGGTTTCCTTGGTGCTGATTATGTCATGCATCAAATGTTGATTGGTCCACACACACAAAAACTAGTGCTATATACCTCTTCGGGAGCTGGCTAGATTCTTGCCTGTGGATCAGAAGGTCATGAGTTCAAATCTAGGGCATCCTAGATTTTTTTTTTAAGTGACCTTGGCTCCCAGGTTGACACAGTCTTAAATGGGTACAGGGTGTAGGTCCTGCAAACTAAAAGCGGCCGGTGTGATGCTGACCACATCACCCACCCATTGCAGCTAGCACTATATGCCTGAAGGCATAAAAAGGATCATTAACTCTCTTGTACTTACAGTCCGTCTTATTGTTCTTTATTTTGTGTTGTTTCTAGTGGAAGTTATCAACACAGCAAGACCTGAAGCCAAAGATGCAGTCATGATTGAAGCTAATGCTGAATTACCAGCAGCAGCAGCGCCATCTTCCCTTCCAACAACAGCAGGAAGAAAGAAGAGGAGAGGAGGCAAGAAACATAAGAAGGGTTCCACGAGTGCAGCAAGCGGTGGTGGACAAGTGTTTGAGAATAATGATGGATGGACCGATGTGGAGATGAAAGATGATTAAATGTTGTAAATAATTAAAATGTTATATTAAACATGTGTTGTTTTTATTTAGAGGGGTAAAGAGTTTATATCGATGAGTGAATTTTTCTTTAGTGTATCTGCACTGTTGCTTGTGTGATCCAGTGACCCCAAGGGTTGTTCTGGCTGTCAGTTAGCTATTGGTAGGTCTCTCATGTTGGACCGCTCATGGAATAGAGACCAGACTCCTTTTTCTTCTTCACGGTCTTCTTATAATTCATCTGTGGGCCGTTGGTGGTCATCTTTTTTCTGGTGCTTAAGGAGTTAATGCAGTGAAGCAATGTGGTCATCTCTTCTTTGGTGCTTAAGGAGTTAATGTAGTGAAGCAATGTGGTCATCTCTTTTCTGGTGCTTAAGGAGTTAATGCAGTGAAGCAATGTGGTCATCTCTTTTCTGGTGCTTAAGGAGTTAATGCAGTGAAGCAATGTGGTCATCTCTTCTCTGGTGCTTGAGGAGTTAATGTAGTGAAGCAATGTGGTCATCTCTTCTCTGGTGCTGGAGGAGTTAATGTAGTGAAGCTATGTGGTCATCTCTTCTCTGGTGCTGAAGGAGTTAATGCAGTGAAGCAATGTGGTCATCTCTTCTCTGGTGCTTAAGGAGTTAATGTAGTGAAGCAATGTGTTTATCTCTTCTCTGGTGCTGAAGGAGTTAATGCAGTGAAGCAATGTGGTCATCTCTTCTCTGGTGCTGGAGGAGTTAATGCAGTGAAGCAAAGTGGTCGTCTCTTCTTTGGTGCTTAAGGAGGTAATGCAGTGAAGCAATGTGGTCATCTCTTCTTTGGTGCTTAAGGAGTTATTGCAGTGAAGCAATGTGGTCATCTCTTTTCTGGTGCTGAAGGAGTTAATGCAGTGAAGCAATGTGGTCATCTCTTTTCTGGTGCTTAAGGAGTTAATGCAGTGAAGCAATGTGGTCATCTCTTCTCTGGTGCTGCAGGAGTTAATGTAGTGAAGCAATGTGGTCATCTCTTTTCTGGTGCTGAAGGAGTTAATGCAGTGAAGCAATGTGGTCATCTCTTCTCTGGTGCTGAAGGAGTTAATGCAGTGAAGCAATGTGGTCATCTCTTCTCTGGTGCTGCAGGAGTTAATGTAGTGAAGCCATGTGGTCATCTCTTCTCTGGTGCTGGAGGAGTTAAAATGCAAATGCAGAATAACAGCAAAAGTAACGGAAAAATTGGTCATCAGAATGAAACCTTGAAGGCCTACCGAAAAGCATGTCCTATGGGGGCTTCCTTCGAAGTCGGAGTACATCTGCCTTAGAGGCACGGCACCAACAGTCTGCATACAGATGAGTCAGATCTGTGAAATAGATGCGCATGTAAGACTCAGTTTCTGGAACAAACCTAAAGTCCCAACGCTGACAAACTATCAGAACTTTCTGCCAGAGTTACGAGCTGGTGAATGCAAGAAGAAAAACTATGCCAGCAGAAGCTGGAGTTAAAAACTGCATAGATTTAATTTTATTGTGGCTTAGTAGCCCTTCATAGATCTCATTGAGGTTTTTAGATTATGTTAGCAGAGATGGTCTCTTCAAGATCTTTGCTAAATACCGTTGCTCACCCTTTCTACTTTGCCTTATCGAATCTTGATATTGGGTTGATCAACATCATGACGCAAGGGCCTGAACCCGAGACCTCTGACACTCGAGCCAAGCGCCATGCTTCAAGACCACTCAGCCCCCCCCCCCCCATCTTTATGCTTTCTTGATACCAACGCAAGGCGCGTGGCCCGCAGCTGGGATCGAACCCGGCATTACGAAGCGTTCGCATCGACTTAGCCACAGAGCCAACTACCAACGTATACTGAGCAGTAATTCGTGATTGTGAATATCTAGACTTATGAATCGCAGATGATCTTTCCTTGGATGCAGAATTAACGGACACATAGGGACGGCTTCCGCAATACTTTACAAACTCACATGAGTGTGGTCAAACAAGAAGCTTATAGACATGACCAGAATTAAAGTTTATGAAGCTTGTATCCTGAAAACACTTCTTTACGGCAGTGAAACCTGGATTCTGTTTTCTCCTCAAGAAAACAGGTTGAATACCTTCCACATGCTCAGTATTAGACACATTCTTGGTATATCATTTCGAAACTGTGTCCCCCGTGAATGTGTACTCAGAAGAGTAGGAATGCCAACAGTGTACTTGCTGCTGAAGCGAAGGCCTGAGCTACACTATAATGACACATGCAAACGATCCTGAAGGATGTCAACATTGGAGAGATTGGCTGAAGATCAACGCTTTGGAAGCAGACTGAAAATGAAATGTCGCAGTTTCAAAGAGGCCAAACGCAGACAGCTTTAGAGAGGAGATGTCTGAGAGAAAACCAGTCTCAGATATTACCATTTTTGTTCCGCCACAATAATAGATTCCTTGAGTGTCTTTCATTCTTGTTTCTGTTTGAAAGACACATATATCATTTGATGTGACGCTAAGGTGTAGATTTTACCTGGAACGTTTATTTTTTTTTCCCTTTGGGCTCGCGGCGTGTTTTTGGCTGCACTAGATTTGCGGGTGGCCATTAACGTTCCGAATCGCGTGCAGTTTTGTGTGTGCTTTCGTGACTGACCGTTTGCGCCAACAATGAGATGCATTTCTGGTGTGGGACCGTCAGTGTTGACCCATCTGATAGCTGCCTGATGTATTTTGACTTGATGTCGCTCAGACTTACAAATGTTTGACAAGTTTTCAAATCACAAAAGGCACAGTATAAAACATGTTCTTACACAGATCAGTTTGGGGGGGGGGGGGGGGTCGTCTGTAGTGAGTTGGAACCTCTACTAACGACACTGAGGTGGCATCTTCTTGCCACATTTCACAGAAGACCACTTTCATCCAAAGTGGTAATAATTATGAGTACGAAGGTGGCTGTTTGGTCCAATATGAGCCAGGAAAGTTATTGAGCAATGCGGACAACGGATGGAAGCCGCAGTAGGTGTGGGATTAGCAGTACGAATCTTTCTAAAGCTAGCCTTGCAGGCCGATGCTCCATGTCTGAGGGACGTACGCTATCCAGAGCGGTCTTGTGCAGCAGCCTCCCACGTTGCTGTGTTGATGCCATAAGAATTGAGAGCAGTCTTCAGAGTGTCCTTATAGCGCTTTTTCTGTCCTCCCTGTCATCTCTTCCCTTGCTGGAGCTCCCTAGGAAAAACTCTATTTGGGAGGCGATAGTCTGGCATGCGAGCTAGGTGACCAGCCCAACGCAGCTGAAAATTCTTCAGTATCGTGTGGATTCTAGGCGGGTTTGCCCTATCAAGAACCACAGTATTATGTGGGATTTGATTTTGAGCAGCTTTCTGAGACAGGTTATGTAAAACTGATTCAACTTTTTAGCATGCCGCTGATACACAGTCCACATTTCACAAGCGTAGAGCAGTACTGGAAGAATTACAGCTTTGTTGACCTTTAGCTTGGTCAGTTATTCTAGCTGGCTTTGGACGCAGCGCAACAACGTAGGGGACGGGCCTCGGTGAGCTGGTCCGGGTGTCTAGTGGAAAAGGGTTTCTCACCCCTTTGAAAGTCCATCGTGTCCGAAGTGTCTGCCAGTGTTCCTCTGCCAACTGCAAATAAAAGTCCAACATGTGTCCGGTAAACCAAAGTAAGCTTGTCGCTCGGTCGTCCAGGCATGCTGACTGCTTTAATTAGGCTGCCGTGGCGGCTTCTTATCTCACTGTACCTCCTGCGAAACCACCAAGTCGTCTTGTCTCTGGCCGAAAGTAAAACACCATCCGGTAATTCCGTACAGCGGGGAACCAGCCCTGAGCTTCATGAACTCAGGAGGGCCCACCTCCGAATGCGTCTAGGAATCGTGGGCCGAAACGCGTGTCGACGAGGATAATTTCTACTGATGACTGGTAGATCCCCGCTGTACTTGCTCCCTGTGAGTTTATTCCTATTGTACACGTGTACAATTTGACAACTGGTTACCTCAGCAGTTAATCCTTGTCACTGAATGCATTGATATTGATTTCCTAACGTGGTCAACTAATAGCGAGCTATTAAAAAATCCATAATTATAAATACAACCTATCTGGACCAATTGAATCGTTCATCTGTGACGTAGGATGCCATTTATAGAAACCGCTCAGGTGCCAAAAATAGCCCGGAAACTCCGTCCCCATTGATTGCCAGTGGGTTATGCAAGTTTTAACGCAAATATATTTTATGAGACTTGGTGCTTCAACCTTCATTTTGAACCAGGCATTCGGTTCACTTGGATGCCTGTCAGTTTATTTATTCCTAATCCTTTTGGTCATTCACCTCAGGAGTAGACTGTTGTCTGGATTGATTGAGTGTTTCCTTAATTTAAGGGTGTGGTGTAAATATTTGTGTTGCGAATATAAACATTCACATTTGTTTACATTCACTTCATCACAGAGTCGGCTCAGTTCTAGATTACTCAAAATACTCTTTCCAGCTGGGATTAGCCATAACTGAAATTTCATCGAATCAGCGCTTTTGCCAGCAGGGTAGATTTGATCAAGAGCTTTACAGCAGAACGGCTAGCGCTGCTCAGGTAACGGTGACTTCGTCGGCAAAAACGTCCACATCTGAAACACATAGCAACCATCAATGCGATACGCAAACAATGGCTGTAGTTGTTTCGCCTACAAATAACTTTCTGACGTTCTCTCCGAACACTTACGAATGGCCATCGTTAATTGAACAGTACAGCGAGCCGAGGTCACTAGATGCGATACCAGTGCGAGTTGTGATATGTGAACATACTCACTGCCAGTGCAATGAAGCTGTACTGGCGTTGCAGACTTACGTTGAATCGCATAATTCGTATTCAGAAAATGCCAGAGATGACACACACAATGTAGACATCGACGCGGATGTTACAAACACAGGCATCCTTGTTTATGAGACAGGTAGTGGCAGCAACACTTCGGACCACCCTTCTCTGTATGTGGAAGTCCTTAATGATGTTCCTAATGAACCACTGGTACCTGACTCGTCTGAAAGACTTGCTTCACCAGAATGCTCTAATGCCATACCCCAATGTCTTGAGGATGCCTCTGTGTTACAAAGTGCGAGCGATCCAGAGATGAGTGACTACACACCAGAATCTGAGACTGTTGGAATTCGTCATGGCAAAAAGAAGAAAAGGCTGAAAAAAGCCAGGCGAAAGTCTTTCAAAAAATGGAAACCTTATCGCATTGACGAGCTCGGATTCAATATTTCGCTGACAACTTATAGTGAAGACGAAGCCGCCAACATTGAAGGTGACAACACGGATGATGTCGATACAGTGAATGTAGAGCCAGTTGGAAATATGACCGGCGACAACGACGTTTGTGAAGATGACATGACGCAGACAGAACCAGTGGGAAACACCAGCGTTAATAGTGACTCTTGTAAATCCAAGTTAACACAAGTCGAGCTGGTTGAAGACATAAGCAACAGCACTGACCAGGATGACATTAATTTCTTTCTGGATTTGGGTATTGACGTTGTAAATGACGACAATCAGGATGATATCCAGAACTGGGACGGTGTGTTTATATCGGCACCATCAGAATATTCTTCTTGTCGGGTGATTGATAACAAAAAGTCCTCTCGTTCAAACAACAAGCGCACAAAAGGAGCAACAGACCGCCAAACTGACACATCAAGGAGAGCAGCGCCAAAAGCTAACAGACAATGCCAGACTGAACCCGTGCAAATATTTCCAGTACCATCCTTTGAATTTTCAAAAATAAAGAAAAGTGACAAGTATAAATTATTTGAGCTTGAGTGTGCATCAAATAAAAGAATTTACATTCGCCGGGATAGGCATCGTAAAAAAGAAAAAGTACACAAAGCAGTGAAGTCAAAGAACTGTCGTTCTATTTTAAACAACATTGGGCGCAAAAGAATGTATATGCACCACAGACTTATAAAAATGCACAGTTTGGACCTGGATTTTCGAACATCTGTTAAATCATGCCGAATTCCTGCAATGCCCAAAACCACCGTTGCAGCTGATGTAGCTAAAGTGGTGTTTCGTGCTGATCGGAAAACTCCAGCCACAGATCATTTAGTGCCGCCAGTTCAGAACCTGAACCATGCGTTGCATGAGACAAACGTTGCCGGTATTGAAGGTGATCTGGCCAATTTCTTGATTACCTTACAACACAGAGATCTTACACCTGAGGACTACGACATGCTTCTACGACTCGACGACTCGGTCAAACCAAAGACTCTTTCTGGAAACGTGTTACAAAAATTACGAACTGAAAAGATAGGACCAAATGGCCCTGAGCAGGGAGCTAGTGACTGGGAACCGCTGTGTACTATCTGTATGGAGCCGTACATTACCGGGCAAGAGAGGAAGTTTTTGCCTTGTGATCACGACTTCCATTCTGAGTGCATTGACAAATGGTTGAAGAATTCTAGTATGAACTGCCCGCTTGATGGATTACCAGTAGAAGCTTCCTAGCATATGGTTTTTTCAAAAATTAAACAAATTTAAAATATTTACATTAAGCCAATGGGTGATCATCATTAAGCGAGTTCTGTTTGGATGGATCCACATTCAACTGTGTGTTCTGCCAAAAATGTTTTTTTTTCTATAATTTTTGCTCTAAAAATGTTTAGTTTTGAGAGGCAAGAAGCCAACAGTCTGCATAAAAATAAGCCAGACGGGTCTGCACGCAAATCGTTCTGGAACGAGTAAAAAGTCCAGAAGTGGACGAACAACCAGAACTTTTCACCGTTCGCAGTCGGTGAAGGCGAACAAGAACATGACTTTCTTTTTCTGTATGTCCTAAAGGTCTTAAGAACGAGAGAGAGAAAAAGAGAGAGATGAAATATTTCGGCCACATTAAAAGACATACCACTCTTTTAAAAACCATACTGGAGAGAACGTCGAAGGCAAGAGGGCAACCTTTACTGTAGCACCTGATTCTTTTTTTTTTAAAAAATTAGATTAAACATGTGATATGTCTATGTCGTTCTGGCAGTTCCTTCACGCCAGTCTGCTCCTGGTCCATGAATGCCATATAGACATTATTATAAACTGCTAAAAAAACTGTAAGGCCAATTGCAAATTCATGGGTAGTTTTAAAAAACATTTCTTTATTAAGCTACAATTAAGTAATTAAGTAATTTGGTAATTGGTAATTTGGTAATCCTAGTTTCAGCTTCATAACAAACGGGTCACCCCACAGATGCTCCGCTCCTGCGCCAACGAAAAACAATTAAGAAACTAGTATAAGATAAACGGTTTTCATTGACATTAAAATAGGCTCAGCACATTGTCGGGACAGTATCGTTTTTGGGTAACCCAGACCGTCCTAACCCCCCCCCCCCCAATCATTGTTTCAGTCGACCTTGCATATCGACAGGACGGTCTGGGCCTACCTAAAAAAAAAAAAACTATACCGTCCCGACGAGAGCAGGACTTAGATTAGCCCATGTTAAAAAATTGATTGCATTAGCGGGAAAATCTATATCAATCGGCCTACCTTCTTTTTTTAAAATTCACATAAAAAAGAAAAATGGTGTTTTTTTTTAATTAATATTCTTTAATAATTATACATCTATAATTTTTAAAATTCGGAATCATGAAACAAAAGTTAACACGATTCAGAATCGAGTGTGTCCAGTATGAGCTTGAATGCATTCACTGTACCTTTGCCTTGTTCGTCTATCGCGCGTGATGAAGGCCACTTTTCATCCAAAGTTGCATTGATTATGAGTACGAAGATGGTCGATTAGTCCAAACTAAGCCTGAAAGTTCTTGAGCAGTGCGGACAACAGATGGAAGCCGCAGTAAGTGTGTGATTAGATATACGGTTCTTTCTAGTCTACCTCCGTTTCTCAGCCTGTGCGAGCGCCGCTGCCTGGCAGACTGTTGCACCATGCTTGGAGGATGTACGCCAGCCAGAATGGTCATTTGCAGCAACCTCCCACCCACGTCGCTGTGTTGCTGCCAAAAGAATTGAGAGCAGACTTGAGTGTGTCTTTTTAGCGCTTTTTCTGTTCTCCCTGGGACCTCTTTTCTTGCTGGAGCCTCGCCACAAAATACTATATTTGGGAGACGATAGTCTGGCATGCGGGTTAGGTGACCAGTCCAACGCAGCTTCAGTATCGCGTGGATACTAGGCAAATGCTTTATTGATAAGACACAAGTTCTTGGAGTCAATTGTGGGATCGCTTGCCAGTCCTGCTCCAGGAGGAGGATCAACTGACTGAGGTCAGTGACATGTAGATGATTCCCTTTATGTCCTACACGTTGTATCAGATGAGATCATGAGAGTGAACTGACCAGTCTAAGCGGGTGACACGTTGCTCTTGTAGGAAGTCATTCACGACCCTAGCTCTATGTGACATTACACAGGTTTTCTTTTCTTCCCCAGGACATACATCCTGGTACCCATTTTTGGCTGGGTCGACCTGCAACGCCCCATACTACGATACAAATCCACGCAGTCATCAGTCTGTGTTGCCATGGGTAAAATGGCAAATATTACAAGCATAACCATCGCTCGTCTCTTCTGAAAAACAGGTGATCTGTGTTTACTAAAGCCACGACTTGCAATCTTCTCAACAGATTTTGCCATATAATACGTTTTCAAACATGCATTATTTCCCTTTCCACTACGAATATGTGATAGTTAGTTAGTTAGTTAGTTAGTTGGGTTATCATCATTGCACTCCGGACATGTCCATAGGTGCTCAGATCCTCCCCTCAGTATGAATCCCAACGTCCGATGGCTAATAGTACCAGTTCTATGTTGATTAACAAGTCTTCTGACGTGTCCGGTGTGCGTCTCGTTTTTTGCTGTGCCGATCTTAATTCCCAAGTCTGCCATTCTGGCGAGTGATGTGGATTCACTGCCACCAAAGTCCTTTATCCTTCCCATTTCTCTGAGGGCATTGATAATATCAGCATGATCCATAGGCCGACCGTCGGTAGTGATAGCGGATCCAGCCAACCTGTCAGCTCTTTCATTTCCATCGACGCCTGCGTGTCCCGGAACAAAAATGAAGGTGACTCCTCGCCACAGTGGACTTCTGAATTGATTCAAGCCATTGTCTTCGCACTGAACCTGCCTGAACCCTCCGGATCATACTCATTGAATCACTGAGTATACATATGCGGGGTGTATTTTTGTGTTTCAAGCCAGGCAAACGCTTTCTGCGTCACTGACATCACCTCCATCGTCATGCTGCTGGTTGTCATGGAGAAGGCGCCGTTGCTTCTTTGACTGTTCTGCCGCTGAGCGTGCTGTAAATGCCCATGCGCTTCTTCTTTGGCGTATAACTGATCCGTCTGTATAGATTAGTGCATCTGCTTCGTCTGAATTTTCACCGATGAGAGCGTTGACCTCTGCATTAACAGCAACAGGATTATCTTCTCTACATCGCCTGTTGAGTGTGACAATACAGGAAAATGTACAAATAAACGCCTGAGGCACAGGTATCCATTCTGCACCAGGTATGATGTCGGTTAGGCTGCATATTTTGCCTAATAACATCTTCTGCCCGACCTAGCCACGATTTTCCCTATCTTCAGTCTGTCGCCCTTTTCACTAAAAAGCGCTTGATGCAGTGGGTGTTTCTTATCAGCACATATTTTGAGGTATGCCCGAGCCCTCCACATCCTGATCCTTTGGTTCATTGTTGGAAAGTCAAGTAGATACCTCATTGCTCCACAAGATGTGTCTCTTGTACATCCCAAAATAATACGCATGGCTTCATTTTGCACCTTCTCGAGTCGTTCAATCTGGGTAGCAATATGTGAATTGCCTTGGAAGTACATACACGCAAAACAGATTTGATTTATTGTCAGAATAACAAACAATATTTAAGTATGCAACAAAATACATTTTTTAAGCTGTATATTTAAGTTCTAAAAACAAAACAAAACAGCTTACCTGAAATTACCTAAAAATTTGAAGTGGCCTTTCAGTTTATATTGTAATATCGCGCTGTGTTTTTGTTTATTCATATTGTAAGATCAATTATATACATAGCTGTGCATTTTCCAACAACGTTTGTATATTTGTAGCATAAACTGTACATTGACTGGACTGCAGGCTACATTGTAGCCTTGGGATTCCCCAAGCATAACCGTTGTAAACGGTTGAACACTGGGATCTGCACCCGTTGGATTTACATTTAAAGGCACGGTACCAGGAAGGGGGGGGGGGGTAGGGGCCGACCAACACGAAGATGGGCACAGGATATAAGTGATTCCTTGAGTATGAAAGTATATGAAGCGGGAGAGCTGGCAAAAGACCGAGTTTCTTTCAGGCAGACTGTGATGAGAGCGACGTTCTGCAAAGGACCTGCTACATGATGATCAGTAGCTCTTTGAGTCAATGAGTGTCATTCTTTTAGGAGCAATTTTGATGTCACATATCACTCCTGTCGCGTGCCTAATGTAAGGATTTCTCCTTCAGAACCAACAGCACTCAGAGATAATTATGTTGAGTCGTTTGGCTAGTATTGGTCTAAGGGATTCCCCGTGGCCAATATACACTCAACTTATTTCTGGAGTAGGGCAACTCAAGTATTGGCACTACAAAATATATCAGTATATGAATACAATATTTCTAGGCACACTTGGCTGGACACCCCCACTACTTACTAAAGAAAGCCCCCAGGTTATGATAAGTCATTATCATAACCATGTTAACACATATAATGAAGATACATACACACACAACTGCTAAACACTTAAAAAGGTGAAATAGAGACACCTAAGTCAGCCATGAAAATGAATGCATGTAATCAGTAATATATATATAATACTGAAGTGAATTCCAGCTATCAGTGGAAGAATCTCAGAAAATAATGTCTAGATACCACAGATACTACACAGACAGTAGGTCCTGGAACTGACATGTTGTCATCATAGGAGCTGTGAAGTATATGGCAAATTAGGCATCAAACTTAGCTTCTCCTCTTCCTGTCTATGATGCCTCCCTCAGCTCCGGATGATTCGACTGTCTTTGACTCTGGGAATTCTGCTCCACTGGATCAAGTAGTCAGAGAAGTACCTCACCATAGAGGACACAATACTGCACTGGTACTTAGCAAGTCTCTATCACCAAGTAGAACACACACTGTTTTTGAGCTACCCTAAGCTCTAGCACTGGTAGGCTGTTTGAGTTACAAGCTCCCACATGTTGGAGATGTCAGGAACCTTCACAGGTGTTAGCTGGTGGGTAGGTGGTTTATGGTTTATGGTTGGTTTATGGTTGGTGGGTGTTGGTTGGACTGTGAAACTTCTGCCAGCTCCTCACAAAGGATACATCCCAAGCATATGCAAAAACTGAGATATTCCAGATCGCCTTGAAAAGTGAACCTATACAGGCATAGATTGACACGTCTGGACGCTTGGAGCCGGCAAGAGAGAATGGCGTCACTTAGACACTCCAGGCGTTGGTAAAAAAAGAAGTCCCTAGTATACCATGGGCAAGGAGTTTT